ATTATTTCTGGTTTTAGAAAAAGATCTAAGACAAAATCTAAAAGAATTTTTATAAAATTGTGAAGACACCTATGGATGTCACCTATGACAGCTGTCATCTTGTGTTAAAGCGAGGAACTGGTGAAATACTCTTAGCAATTGTACAACTACAAACAAATATGTTGGGTCATGCGACATAAATGTTTCAGAAATGCTGGTGTATAGAAGATTAATTTAAATGTCTGTTTAGTTTCATTCAAAATACAGTTGTTTTACAGTTGTAAATTGTTCAAAAGTAGCATGTTGATGACTAATTTCTTATATTTTAAGATGTTTTACGTAATGCTTATTTAATTTCTTATTATATTAATGCTTTTATGTAATGCTTATTTTATATTTGAAATTCTACAATAATTATAATTGAAGCTTTTATATAATTCAATGATGGTTGACGAAAACGTAATTTCGTCGTTTTCTTTTTCAATGCCATTTAATGTTATTAATATTCTGTACGGTGTGCATCGTTTACATAGCTCGCAATAAACACCACATCTGCGAATACGTTTGTGACTTGCCAACTACCTTGAATCCAATATAATTCGTTTATTTTAAAATCGTCAAGAATTATTAAACAGTTTTCTATATATATTTTTTTTAGTTTTTTTTTTCCTAATTAATCAAATCAAATTATAATTATACAGTAATTACAACTAGAAAACTAGAAAAATCGTTATATCTGAGTCAAAAGTTGAGATTATGTAACAATTATTATATCAAAAGATGCGCAATAAAAACCGTTTCTGTTGTACCCAATTCACTCTTAATTTGTTAGTTTTAATAGAACTATTTGCACTTAATTTTAAAGTTAATAGAATCATTTAACAAAACTATTTGGTGAATCATTTGTCGTTAAGTTAATTAACATTTTGATAAATCACGTACGTTTCTGCACGAACTTTAACAGGCGCGTTTAATTACGATGAACTTTTATGTGTTGTGCTTGTAATAACTGCTGTTCTTTGGACTAGATTCTCGTTATTTTTTTTGAAGGACACCACTGAATAATATCTGGCACATCTGTAAAAAGAACTTGTATATTGGAAGGAAGTGAAGAGGACTAATATCAAACTGAATAATTTTGCAACTACAAAACGTACGTCTTTCCGTAATTCAACGCTCGAAGGACGACGCGATTTTTTTTTTGCTTTCTTTCGTTCGCATTGCTTTTGGTAATCGGAGATCGTCACAATCCACTAAAAACGAGACTTGAGCGTTTCGTTTTGTAGATTAATCGATAATCGACAACAATCAATTGCCTGTCGTGACCGGAGGTTAATTGCTCTCTTTTTCTCTTAAAATAAACTAATCGAATCGGACTCAAATCGAACATGAACTATTTTATTTTGTGTGGTTGACTTTGTTCCTTCCTATTTTTGTGTCGTTCCTCTTCCTACTTTTCCTTCCAACGCGAAACGATAGTTTTTCTACCTCGCTCGGAATAAAAATGAACCGTAATCGAATTGAACAGTAATTGAGCATCGGATAGCGGGAATTTTTTAATACTTGCGAATTCTCGTCATGTTTTCTACTTGTAAATTGATGTCTCTAAAGGCAAGTACTTATTTCTATTTGACAAATTGGTCAAGTACTTGTGGCATGTTTACCAACTGAAATTGTTGCTATATCATAAATACTCAAAACATGCACTAGTTTGATGAAATACAACAAAGCTTTCATTGGTACGTATAGATGGCGTCACCAATCACTATTATAATTAATATTACAAGATTTGCATAATTTGAATCCCATTTAGTATAGATTTACTGATATTCATCTTAATCGGGTGGAAAATATCAAAGTAATTGGTATTAATTTGCAGTCGGTTATTACTATAAATGCAAAGGGACAACAGTTATTCGAATATAACGAAGGCTTTAAATTAATTCCAGTCTGTGCGTAATGTCACATCATTTGTTGGATGCACTAGCAAACGTCCTTTGCGCGAGGGAGGACAAAGCTTTTTTTTCAAATCCCGCTCTTTTCATCCCTAACAACGTTGTTGTCTAGGAAACTAAACACGACGTAAAATTGGAAACTGTTTCCCCTTTCAAATTACCTGCAAATTTTCGTGTTGTGTATGTTCGAGCGACGAAACAGTTGTTTACTTTCGGTTGAAAACGTTTGTTTTGATTCTTGTGCGCGCACTGCACAACGATTGTCGCGTTTGCCTTGATCTTATTGACATTTGCGTTCTTTTTTCAGGTCTTTCCGGATGTATATCGACGTTATTACACGATGGCATTATGAATCCTGCCGAAGGTATGTTTATTTTTTTATATACAGTTTACATCGCTACTCGACATTAAATAACAAGGTTTATTTAAATTTATACAATAATTGCATACATTGGTTGTTTAAGCTAGTAGTTTGATAAGTTACGAGTAAGTACCGTACACAATACTCATTTTCTGTATAAGTAGAAGTGTGTACTATTAGTGATAATTTTCATATTTAAGTGTTAATTAATTTTAGTAATAATTAATATCAAGAATTTTACTATACATTAATTAGGGAAACTCAACATTAGAAAATACAAATTTGAGATCAAAGTTATCCTTTTTAAAATGATTTATTAACATAAACAAAATAAAGTTCTTAAAATGTAAAATTTAATAACTTATGATGTATTAAATAAATAACTCTATGAGCATTTTATATAATATGGATTAAGTCCGTTTTACACTAGAGTAAATGCTCGTCGTTAATGCATTTGAACTACCCGTAAATATGCAAATATTATATAATAATTAGTTCGAATATCAAATAAAATATTGATTTGAATCTTATAATTTCTTTATTTGTTAGAATATTTTTATTATAGTTGCTTTATGTATAATGTAATTAGTTTATAAATAATTTATTTCTAAAATTACAATAATAATTGAATGTAAATTTGGTGACATAATGTTACAAATCCCTATTTTATTGTCATTTGTTTTCGAATAGATTTAGTTTACATAATTTAAAAAGCTTTTGATTAGTAAAATCGATACGTTGTAATTAAAAGCTACACGAGACGAAAATTGGATTCAACTGGAAATGCGTTTGCGATTACTTTTTTTTTAATTTTCAGTTGGAAAATACATTTACGCTTGAATTTGATGCCGCTGATGGGTATATGTGCGTGCATATCAAAAAGCACAATGGTTTTTGTTCATTTTCTCTTCATTTGTATTTTGTTTTTTGAAGTGGATGGAAAATATTGAATATCATCGAGTGTTTCATTTATATGAAATATTGTATAAAAGTTTTATATAAAATATAAAAGTTTCATACGAAATTTACGTTCACTAATATCTTGTGTAACGTTTTGGTGTCGTAATCGAACAAATAAACACTTTCTTTTGCACGGTTTGTGAAGATTTCAATGGTTTCGTTGAAGTTGAAGACAAAAATTAAAATTTAACAATATACATTTTGTATTTAATTAATAAATCATAAATTTTGAAAAATTCTTATAAAAAATACATTAACATAAAAATTTGAGTAGAATTTACTTAATTTTAATAGTTTTCAGTATTGTTTTAATGTGTTCTTTTTATAAAGGTATCAAGCCGTCGCAAATCGAATCGGCGTAAAATGAACCCATATTTACAGTGAGGTAACTATAGGGTTTAGTTCTATATAAGTGTAAAATCTGCAATTAAGAAGCGTTATTTCACAGCGGCGTTATTGTGAATCGGCGTAAATCGAACCGTCGCAAAACGACGTTTACCTCTATTGTGTATTTAGAGAGTAAATGAAAGAAGTTATCCTTTGGGAAACGCTGTAATCGGATAATTGAATAATGAATGCGTCCATTTAATTAACGTGTTCTGTTCTTACCGTTGTTTCTTTTTTTCTTCTTTTAGTTGTGAAGCAGAGGATGCAGATGTTGAATTCACCATACAAATCCGTGATGCATTGTCTGATGAAGGTGTACCATACGGAGGGACCGAGGGCGTTCTACCGGTCTTACTCCACCCAACTGACGATGAACGTGCCGTTCCAGAGCATCCACTTCATGGTGTACGAATTCGCGCAGAAGGTGACCAACAAGGAGCACAAGTACAATCCGACGGCTCACATGACCAGCGGTGCCTTGGCAGGTGCCGTGGCCTCAGCAATCACCACACCGTTGGACGTCTGCAAGACGTTGCTCAACACCCAGCAAGTCGGTAGCATAAAAGGCATGAGGAATGCCATGAAAACAGTCTATAGGTGAGGAGATATGACAATGACTTTACGTCTCATCTGAATTTTGAACATTTCTATTAGATTTTTTAATAAGTCATCATTCTTTTCTAAAAAAATCTTTATTTCCGACAACTTCAATATTTGTTTTTCAAGGATCATTAACACAAATTCACTAGAATCTTCAACTTATACTTTTTCAACATTTTTTTTTGAAAATGTCTGTAAACTTTCTTATATTTCGTCTTCGTTTTTGAGGATCGGTGGTACACGCATTATAATTAGAAAATATCCGGGAATGTCCCTTTAATTTGGTTGGTATGTCAAAAGATGAATCTCGATGTCTGATTCAGTTGTCTAGAAATTCTTGTTTGATTTGTTGACAAAATTCAACAATTTCTACAAGTTGATATGATATCATTAAAATCATGTTAGTTACGTTCATATTTTCCATTTATTTCATTCAAAGCAAAAGTCTTTCATCGCTTTCTCGTTTCCACTTTTGTTAAGTACTTCTATAAATTGATTGGCTTTGAGCATGCGTGTGTTATGAAAAATGTTAGTCATCTTTCATTTTCTATGATTGAATTTTGAAAATGTAAAATTCTATTTTTGCAGTTTCTATTACCAATTTATTTTTGTATTTGTTGATAGAAATCAAAGAAATTCTACATTCACCTAACGATCAACAAGCAAGTAAACTGTGATTGTCATGAAGACAACTCAAATCCTCTACTCGTTACTAGACGTTAGTTTCTAAGCAACGAAAAAGTAATTTTTGGTGATCGACAATTAGATAAAACATCTGAACAAGAGACATTATTAATGAAAATTCCTTAACTATTGTTATATTAAAAAGAGTTCTATATTGAAATTCCGACAACCATAATTCCGACATTATGAAAATTTTAGCAGATTTTGGCAATCTTCATACAGGAAATTAAGGTATACAGTTATAATTTGAGATTATAAATTGTCGGGATTTTAACACTGTCGGGATTTTGTTTCGAACCGATTAAGACATTTTCTTATTGGAATCAAAATATTTTTACAATATTTTTCAATTTTTTTTATAAAAATTTTATTTTTGTTTTAATCTTTAAATTTCAATTATTTATTGCAGATTTTTATAACGATTTTTGTAAAATTAATATGTCTAAAAGTAGTACTCTTAATGTTGATCTTATATTACTCGTGAATCTTATATGTTTCTACTTTTGGTTTCAGGTTAGGCGGTTTTGCCGGCTTCTTCAGGGGAATGCAGGCACGCATCATGTACCAGATGCCTGCAACTGCGATCTGCTGGTCGACGTACGAGTTCTTCAAGTACATCCTTGGAAACGCGCGCTTGGAGGAGGTCAGACTGGTCGTTCCTCCAAGCACGGTCTTCGCCGAGGACGACGGAAGCGTTGGTAGCAACATGAGCAGGGATTCAGAGAAGCAGCAGCAATCTCTGACCCCCTCGACCGAGAAGATCAACCTGAAGGCCCGAGAGATCCCGGCGATGTCCGGCGCCGGCCTGTACGGTTCCCTGTCCTTCAACACCATGCATACCTCGGCCGATTCCAGTTTTAACAGGAGGAAAGACTCCACGATACTCGACATCACTCACACCTAGTTGCGAGTCAGAAGTATTACCTAGTTAACACACCCCCGAAGCGAAGCAAAGCAAAAATATAATTGTTTTACCAATAACGAAATATCCATCCTACGGTCACCCTTTGAATACACACGCAAACACCTTTCACAACGTTCTTTCCACCCCCGAATTTAATGAGAACACACAACAACCACAATCATAAAATCGTCATCCGTTTTAGATCAACAAAACAAAAAGAAATAAGCAGTCGAATATTAATTTATTGGAAATTTTTTGAGATGTTTGTAGAAAAGTTCGAATCTCTTGCTTTCGTCGTCTTAGGCCTCCACCGTGAAAATTTCAGTTTAAAAAAGAAATTAATGTTAAAAAACAACAACGGTTAAGAAAATTTGCAGCGTTTTCTGCTTGAAGAAACGGAAAATACGGCCTTTCTTTTGTTGTTGTATCGCTTTCGTCGACGAAAGGTACATCACATTTCGCGTGGTACAAAAAATCAATTAGTTTTGTTTTTTCTCTCCTAACAATTTCAATTTGCAAGTAATGTTGATAATAATTTAAAGAAATTATAAAATATATAAATATCAGTAGGTGCGTTTCTTCGTTGCGAGAATTCGATGGAGTTAATAAAGTTAATCGTAGTTATATGTAAATGTATATATTTGTACAAATATCAAAAAAAAAAAAAAAGAAGAAAAAATGTGAAAGCAAAAGCTGTTGAATGTTGTCTATTATTATTATTATTTCATTTGTTTGTTATTCGGTATTAAAAAGAAAAGAGCAAAACAAAAAATATCCTTGTGTATAAATGCAGAAGCGAAATTGTTGGTGCGTCGAGGGATGGAACGGAAAGGAAAATCCCGATTTGCTTTCCTTTTGTCGATTGTCGTTGGTGGTGACTCGTAGCATATGATAGATTTTACTTCCACTGATTTATAAACTATATTACTATTTTTTTTTAATAATACTATATATATATTAACTGTGTAGAGAACGAGTTATATTGTTAGTGGGGGGGCGATTTTTTGTTTGTTTGTTTGTTTCTTCTGGAAGAAACGAAGAATGTTCAAAAAAGGAAAAGTGGGGACAAAATAGGTAAAAAAGAAAGGAGTAAGAAAAAAAAAGGTCGTGTCTTTCGCAACACGCCGATTGTTGAAACACTGAGGTTTTCCTTGAACTTATTAATTTTGTTATCGAATCGTTCATTTTCTTCAATCCCAACAGTGGAATTATGTTATTTGTTTGCTTGTTCATTTTTTTGCAGTTTGTCTCCTATTTTTTTTTCTCTGTTTTCACTCTTCTCTTCAAGCAAATTTAAGAACTGCTTGTAACGACGATAGAGGAGTATATATATATATTATTAAACAACACACACACACTTATATATATATAAATATATTTAATGATACCATGTAAATGAGACATTTTTTGGCTGTGATAAAGTCCTTATCGACAATTTTCTGTATGATATTGACTTCGTTCAGATGGAAGTACTATCATATTCGTGTAACTTTTATTTTAAAGGAATGGAAGGAAAAACAAAAAAAAAGTAATTATGATGATTATGCGAGGTGGGCCGTGGACGCAAACCGGAACGATCGGCACTTTGTTCTTTTGGTTGCTATCTTATTTTGTTTACAATCACAGCAATTTGCCGTATTATTATTATTATCTTTTGTTTATTATTATTTTGTTTTGTAGTAATGCGATTTCAGTTGTTTCCTTCTAATTTTTAGCGCGCGGATCATCGCGAATCGTCCGGCTTCTCGGCCAAGTCCACCGAGCATATTTTTTTTTTGTGATAAGGGACCTTGTCACTAATTTGTAGATAGTCTTTAAGTTTGTGTCATATATATTTTTGTTTTTGTAAAATATTGAAATGAAAAAAAATATATAAATAAATAAAAGAACGAAAAGCAAAATACGAGATGGAGATGATACGATGAAGATGATGATGATGAAGATGATAAAAAAAAAGAAAGAGTGTTGGAAAAAGTAAAAACCTATTCTTTATTTAAAAAAAAAATTATATTATATATTAAATAAATAAAAAAAAAAACAATAAAAATTATGTTACAATATTGATTCTATGGTTTTTCTTATTGTTTTGTTCTTTCTTAATTTTATTATTTATATATGATGATGATGATGATAATCGTTATTGGCGAAATAAAACCGAAAATCGTTTAGTCGTCTTATTTACGATCCACTGTATTCGTTCAATTTGTTACTGTATTCTGTAAGTTTGTTCCTTAATTTTAGTCTATATATATTTTTATCTTATTTCTCTTTTGGAATCCCGTTTTTTTTCTTTTTAATTCCTGGAAGGTAACTGTTCTGCCCCATTGAAAATTGCGTCGGTGAATCCGAGTGGTTTGGGAAATATGTGCTTTTGTGTTTTGTTTCGTATGGCTGAGAACGAAAGTACCTTCGAAAATGAGAGGACAAAAATCTTGTACAATAAAAATGAACATCGACTATTTTCTAAATAAACGTAGATTTCTTGTTTTTATATTAAAAATAACGAAATTATTATTACTACTACTCGAATCTGTTTCAATTTATGTTTTCCTAATCATTGGATTTGTACAATTTGATATATTTCCATTACAAAACTAAATTAATATTCATTTTTTTTTTAATTATTTTAGTTCTACGTGATAAGAATCAATAAAATCCAACAATTTTTGTCGAGTTATAACATAAAATGCATTGAAACAGTTTTATGTTAAAAGAGAGAGATTTTTAGTAAATCTACCATTAAGATATCAAGACCACTTTTGTTATTTTACGTATAGCAATTGTCTAATGGATAAATGATAATTGTTGGATCTAAATAAGAAAATTAGTAAAATAATTTAAATTAAAAGTTATTTAATTTTGAATCAAGCAAATTTAATGGATATAGTTATGGAAATAATTGCTTTAGTTAAATTATTTGTTCGTGATATGCAATATTTTACACGTTTGTAAACAAGTTGCTAACACAGAGTCTTTGGTTGCCTGGTTTAGAAGTGGTCATGATCATAATATTGTGTAAAGTTGTGATTCGTTTTTAAACTCGTAGAAAACAATTTTATTAATAAATATGTATCAAACATTGAAGCCAAGTAAAAGTGAGGAAAATCTGCTGAAGCTGCAGGAAGAATTCAACAAAGATAAGGCAGCAAAAAAGATAAAGGTAGCAGCGACTGTGGTATCTGGATACGAAAAATCAGGTATATTTCTAGGTTACAGAACGCAAAATGGATAGGCTTAATAATTTAAATTGCAGAAAGAATGGAAGTAGAAAGTCCAGGTGAATCTGCTGAAGAAATCCCAGAACGTTTGGGTGACGCCTTCACAGATATCCCTAAGAATTTCAAAGTGGGTCCTATCATTGAAAGGACTTCTTTTAAGGTACCTCGCAGTGGTTGCAATTTCAAATTTTCACAGGCCACTGGATTCCCCATAGCAAAGAGACGTGATGTATGTTGAATTTATTGTTGAGTGTATTATTTGTTTGGTAATTGATTAGATTAGACCACATTGTCAACAGGTGAAGGAAGTATATTCAGACAGCAGATGAATAAGTTAAAAGAAATGAAATGTGCAGATAATGATCAGAAGAAAAGAAATATTGAAATAAATCAGCCTGGTTCCAGCAAAGTAATAAACAAGGTTGATAAGAAGCAGATTGATCAAGAAAACATGGATTTGATGAGTCAAATGACAGAGGAGGAGATTCTGGCTGAGAGGGAGAAGCTTATGTCCACTTTGGATCCGGCGATACTGGCGTTTATGAAGTCGAAGAGATTTCATAGGAAGGAAACTGTTGAAACGCGGCAGCCGAGCATTGCCAAACAGAACAAACCCGTCGAAGGTTTGAGCTTCGAGGATTTGCAGAGCGCGATGGAGATTTTAGATCAACCGGAATCCGACAAGTGGTTGAACTTTGATGTGCTGGAAACAAATAAGCTAGCCTGGATACAGAATGTGGACGTACCAAAAATCACGAAAGATTCCCTATACGAAGCCAGGTATTAGTATATTTTAATAAACATTTGTTAAAATTGATTAAATTGGTCTTATTTTTTAGATTTGATTTCAATGGATGGTTGCTACCGTTTACCAATGATGGTATGACCGAAAGCAATCGTTCATTGTACCATCACGGCGAAGAACCGGGAAGACCTGGTTACACCTTGCAGGAATTATTCCAACTGAGCAGGTGATTTTGTTTACTGATTATTAAACGATTTCTGGATGATTCGACGATGGACTTGCAGGTCCAACGTTAACCAGCAGAAAATCGTCGCTTTGAACACGATCGCGAACATCCTCGTCCTTCAATCGTCCGGAATCTACGACGAAGTGATCGAGATACCGATCGAGCAAATCTTCTTTGTCTTGAGATTCTCTTTGGATGATAATACACCAGCCATTCTGAACGCCAGCATTAAGGCGATGCGAAGTCTCATCTACCATCCGATAGATGAGACCTGTTTGGATAATCTGTGGAGTTTCGGTTTGGGCTTGATCCAACCTATCCTAGCCATCGATAACGAAGAGAAGTTAGATGATAAAACCGTCAACGATCAGCAGCTAGTCGAAACGAATCTAATCAAATGCCTTACTAGAACTGATATAGTAATTAGGATTAGGTATGATCTTTTCCTTCTAATAATCAGTCTTTTTTTAATATTTTGTTTTGCAGGTATATTTTAATCACTGTAAAACCGTGCCTGGAAACCGTCAGTTATTTGATGGAAATACTGACCAGATTAGCGAGAGATTCCAATTTCGTTATGATGCAAGTCTACGAATGCCATGGTCTTCTGCAAAGCGTCATCACGAATTTTGCTCCGGACATCACGAATCTGAGTATTCAACTTCGGTCATTGAAAATCAATGCTTTATTTCACTAAGCAAGTTGTTTTTATTTTATTTTAGAGAATCTAACGAATTCTTACGGACAACCCTTAACCCAGGCCCTCAAATTTCTTAGAGTCCTGAGCGCGGGGAGCAGAAAAATCGCAATTCAGTTGATTGACAAGTGCGTTCTGTTTTAATTATTACATTAATTAATTAAATAATAACACTATTTTCAGGTACAAGATTCTTGATTCCATAATGTCTTATTTATCAAACGAATCAATTTCTGCTAACGTGAACGGAATGAAGCTTCAAATCGAAGCTTTTCGTCTGTGGTCAAGCTTAGCGCGTTACGGCTTAACCTTGGACAGATTCAAGTAAGGATATTAATTAATAATATTGTTATTTGTGAAAGTGGTATTTACTAAAATTACCATTAACTATTCTTTTTCTAAAAGTGGACTTATTTGCTATTAAAAAGAGTGGTATAAGTCCATTTGGAGGTAAAAAACGTATTTTTTTAACAATTTTAATAATTATTATTGCAAAATGAAAAGTAACAGTTTTATAGTGTAAAAAACATCACACGAATTGATTAACGTTTGTAGGGACTTTCAACACGTGCTTTATAAACTTTTGGATTATCATCTGAAGAACAGCGATCATACATCTTCCTACACGGTTCAAGCCCATGTCTCGTCTCTGCTGATTCTCATATCGGAGGTCGCCAAACATGACTTCGACGCTACTAAAGTTTATTATCAGCTACTGCTCGATCTGGGTGTAACCAAATGGTTAACGCAGTTTACAACGATGCAACAATTCACGGTATGTTTGTAAATACCAAAGACAAATGGATCATTAAGAACGTCTGTTTTCAGTGTGGAAAGTTGCAAATAGTGTCCAGTTTTCTTGTAGCCATGACCAATTTCGTCATGTCCAACAAACCGAGCTCCGTTGATATGTCAGTAGATGTGCTCATCAATTTTGCGGAAAAGATGATGGATTCGCACGGATTCAATCTTGTCACAAAAGATATTCAGTGATTATTACACAAGTGTTAGTCTTGACTTTGAATTTATTTTTTTTAATGGTTTTCAGATCGGCTTCGAACGTGTTAAATAATTATGAGACGCACAAATGCGGTGCTAATTTTAAGTACACTGAAGCTGCGGTTTGGAATTGTTCGGATCACGTCGTTCCCGTCTTTAAACCGAACAGCTGCATACCCTTCATTCGGGTATTTTCAGATTTCGTCGAGTCTACCAAAAATAAGAAGGTAAAACTTCAATAACAAAAGTTCATTCCTTATGTGTTTCATTTATGTAATTTGTCAAGCATCCTAGACTCAATTGCTTATTTCACACATTCATGGTCTTTATATGTCAAGTATTTGTTACTTGGCAAGTATCGTGCACTGATCGTTAAATTTCTATATTATCTTTCAGTTGATGATCAAATTTCTGTCAAATGATAACGTACTTCTTTACTTGCGACAAGTGAAGCAGGCGAACAAGTATTACTTGACAGGCAATTGGTATACGAGAGTGGAGAGCGGTCTTCTTTTAAGCATCCTGAAGATGGCGATCGAAGTGCAGAATAGCATCGACACAGGATTCTTCTATGCCTTAGCGATGAAGACTTTGAGCATTTACCACGAAGATCAGAAACCGGACGTCGAGTACGTGTTAAAACACGCCATCTTCTCGCCGGAATTCTATCCGCCGGACGTTTTTCTTGCCAGAATGGACATTGAGGATGCGGAAGATCCTAGCAAGGAAACGTTGAAATCTGCACTAGATAACATCAATGATATCTTTAACGTTTACATGAACGTTTTGGGCCTGAAGAAGGTATTTGCTTCGCGTAAACATATCCAATTTATATTAATGTAATCGCTTTCAGTTGAAAGTGAATCCGTTGTGGCAATCGGTTGATGTGAATATGGAAAATGCTCTTCCAATCGACTGGATCTACAGCCCGATCATAATACTTTACTCGAATCAGCAAGAGGAACAGAATACCATTACCAAAGATGATCAGGTCTTCATCATCACCAATTGCCTGAGATGGGTGTACATCTACGAGACATATTTTCCTAGTTTGGCCATTATGATCGATACTACCGATCGCTTCTGTCGACTTGCCTGCACCTTCCTGGGCAGCGACAGTTTATTCTTAATACCAGATGTGAAGAATCTGCTTGAACTCTGTCTAAAATCTGTACTCAAGATTGGCGATCAACTGAATTTTGAAAGAAACATTCACGGTCTGTGCAACTTCCAAGACTTCTTCACGCAACTGTTGGAGCAATACCTGGGCGTCAGCTACGGTGATGCCCTCTTCGGTAATTTCGTATTGATTCCTCTCGCCCAAAAGCACAATGTCAAGTACAGGAAAACCGTGTGGTCGGAATACGCCGGAATCGTGCAAGTTTTCAATCTCACTGAGAAAGATGTAAGTTTATTTAATTCAATCAAATGAATTGCATTTTTTACCTCCATTTTCTTCATCTATGTATACTTTGTGTGTTCTTAAATAAGTATAACATTGAATATGCGTTGCTCTTTTGCAGATCGTCCTATCTATTGAGTCATTTTTGGAGCCGGAGGAAACGGATATGTCTCTTCTGCGTTGTTACGCACAAGCGTTGCGCACTCATAATATTAGGACTCATTCGGTCTTCTACAAAATTGCTAAACACCATGTGCAAAAATTTCATGCTCGACGAAATATGCTAAATGAAAGTACCTTCGAAATGGAGAATAAAAATATTGTACAATAAAATCTAAATAAACTTAGTTTTCTTATTTTTATATTAAAAATAATTGTGTTTTCCTAATCATTAGATTTATACAATTTGAATATATATTTAAGTTGCAGTTACTCTACTTCTTAAGAGTTCTAAGATTTTTTTTTCAAATGTAGATAAAAAAATCTTATTTTTTCACACAATATTTATATCTAACTAGGAAAATTAGTTAAACAATATCAATTAAACTTATGTGCATTTCAATTAGTGGAGAAATGTTAAAAAGTCAACTTAAATTGTAAAAAATTACTGTTATTTTATAAATAAGTAAGTAAAAAATCATTGTAAATTTTAGCACAAAACATTTTTGTTTATGATAAACGCGATATACAATAACTTGCACTATTGTCGAACGCGTTGCTGGATTGTTCACATCAATTTTGTGTAAAGTTGTGATAGTTTGTAAATTCGTTTTTAAACTCGTTGAAAACTATTTTGTTAATAAAAATGTATCAAAAACCGAATCCAGGTGAAACCCACAGAGATCTGCTGAGGCTGCAGGAAGAATTCTACAAGCATATAGCAGCAAAAAAGATAAAGTTAGCATCAATAGTGGTATCTGCATACGAAAAACCAGGTATATTTCTAGCTTACAGAAAGTAAACTGCATGGACTAAATAACTTAAATTGCAGAAAAAAAGAAAGAAGAAAGTACAGGTGAATCTTCTGATGAAATCTCAGTGGGTTTGGATAACGGCTCCATGGATATCCCGAAGAATGGCAATGAAAGGATTTCTTTTAAGAGACCACCTGGTAAATTCAAATTTACAGCGGCCTCAGGATTTCCACCTCCCATGAGACGTGATGTATGTTGTAATTATTTGTTGAGTGTATTATTCATTTGGTAATAGATGATTAGGTCACACTATCAACCGGCGGAGGAAATATATTTTCACAGATGAAAAAGCTAGAAACTACACCAGAGACTACGCCAAATGTATTGAAATGGGCTGATTTTGATCCGCAGAAAAGAAACATTGCAATAACTCGGCCTGGTTTAAGCAGTGTAATAAGTAGTTTTGAAAGGGAGCTGATTCATTTCGACAACATAGATTTGCTTGCACGAATGACGCAAAAGGAGATTATACAAGAGAGGGAGAACATTATATCTATGATGGATCCGGCGATACTAGCTTTTCTGAAGTCGAACAGACTCCATTCGAAGGAAACTGGTGAAACGTGTCAGCCGAGCGATCCCAAACAGTTCGAGGATCTGCAGATCGCAATTGATCCTGAATTCGATAAGTGGTTGAACTATGATATGCTGAAAAGCAATAAGCTTACTTGGTTTCAGATCCTCGACGTACCAAAACTCACGAAAGAGTCCCATAACACACCCAGGTATTGTTATATTGTTATATTTTACTAATACATTTGTTAAAATCGACTTATTTCTTTGTAAATAGATTTGATTACAACGGATGGTTACTGCCGTTTACCAGTGCTTTTATAATCGATTGCGAACGCGGTCGTGCTTTGTACCATCAGGGCGATGAACCGGGTTACACATTTCAGGAACTATTCCAAATGTGCAGGTGATGTTGTTTACTGATTATTCAATGATCTCCGGATGATTTGACGATGGACTTGCAGGTCCAACGTTTACCACCAGAAACTTATTGGTTTGAACACGATCGCGAACATCCTCGGTCTTGAAGCGTCCGGAATCTATGACGAAGTCATCAAGATACCGATCGAGCAAATGTTCTTCGTACTGAGATTATCTGCGGAAAACAAATCTCTAGCCGTTCTGAACGCTAGCTTCAAGGCGATGCGAAATCTCTTCTACAATCCAATAGATGAATCCTGTTTGGATAATCTGTGGAGTTTTGGTTTGGGCTTGGTCCAACCTATCCTCGCCATCGATAACGAAGAGAAGTCCGATGATAAAACCATCAAAGATCAGCAGCTAGTAAGAACGAACCTCATCAAATGCCTTATGAGATCCAATATACTAATTAGGATTAAGTAAGTGTTTTTTTTTTCAAATACAATTTTATAGTTAATATATAACATTTCAATATCTTCGTGCGCATATAATAATTAGGGTATTTATTTATAATATCATTGTTAAAATTGTTTGAATTGCAGATACATTTTAAACACTGTTAAACCGTGCCTGGAAACCATCATTTATTTGATCGAAATATTGACTAGATTAGCGAGGGATTCGAAATTCGTTGTTATGCAAGTCTTCGAATGCGAAGGTCTTCTGCAAAACATCATCACGAATTTCGTACCGGACATCATGAATCTGAGTATTCGACGTCGGTCATTGAAAATAGATGATTTTTATCACTAATCGAGTTTTTTTGTTGTTAATTTTAGAGAATATAAAGAAGTCTCACGGACAAGCCACAACCTACGCCCTGAAATTTCTTAGAATTCTGAGCGGGAGGAGCAGAAATATCGCAATCGCAATGATTAACAAGTGCGTTTTTTTTTAATTATTTAATTTCTTAATTAATTAATTAATAACACTGATTTCAGATACAAGATTGTTGATTCCATACTGTCTTATTTGATAAACGAAGCGTTTTTTGCTAACATGAAAGGAATGATGCTTCAAATCGAAGCTTTTCGTCTGTGGTCAACGTTTGCGCGTTACGGCTTAACCATAGACAGATTCAAGTGAGGATTTTCAATCAATTATAATATTGTTATTTGGTGAATTAATGAAAATGGAAATTTAGGGACTTTCAGCACGTGCTTCTTAAGCTTTTGAATTACCATCTGAAGAACAGCGATATAACATCTCCTCTCACGGTTCAAGCCCATCTCTCGTCTCTGCTGATTCTCATATCGGAGGTCACCAAGCATGACTTCGGCGCTACTAAAGTTTATTACCAGCTACTTCTAGATCTGGGTGTAACCAAATGGTTTACACAGTTTAAAAAAATGCAAAAATTCAAGGTACGTTTGCAATTACCAAAAAAAAAAAATGGTTCACTAAGAACGTCTGTTTTCAGTGTGGAAAGTTGCAAATAGTGTCTAGTGTTCTTGTGGCCATGACCACTTTCATTATGTTCAAGCCGAATTCCGTTGGTATGTCGGTGGATAGGCTCATCAATATTGCGGAAAATATGGTGGGTTCGTACGGATTCGAACTTGTCACCGAGGACATTCAGTGATTATTAAACAACTGTTAGTCTAGACTTTCAATTCAATAATGGTTTTCAGGTTTTCATCGAATTTGTTAAATAATAACAAGACGCACAAAAGCCGTGTCAATTTCAAATACACTGAGGCTGCGATTTGGAATTCGTTAGATCATGTCATTCCCGTCCTCAAATCGATAAGTTGCATACCATTCCTTCGGGTATTTTCAGATTTCGTCGAATCTACCGAGAATAGAAAGGTACATCCATTAAGTTTATCCAAAATGTTGAGAAATAATTAATTCATTTCATATTTATGTGTAATATAAGTAACTTGCCTTAATCATCATTGCTTATTTTAATAACACATTCTTTATATTGCATATGTCAAGTATTCGTTACTTGGCAAGTATCGTTAAAGTTTTGTATTATCTTTCAGTTGATGATCACATTTCTGTCAAATGCAGACGTACAGTTTTACTTGAAATTAGTGAATCAAGCGTACAAATATGACTTGACAAGCAATTGGTATACCAGAGTGGAGAGCGGTCTTCTTTTAAGTATCATCAAGATCGCAATCGAAGTGCAGAATAGCATCGACACAGGATTGTGCTATGGCTTAGCGATGAAAACCTTGAGTATTTACCACGAAGAGCAAAAACCGGACATAGAGTACGTAATAAGGAACGCCATCTTCTCGCCAGACTTCTATCCGCTGGACGTTTTTCTCGCCATAATGAACATTGAGGATGCTGAAGATATTACCAGGGATACGATGAAAGCTGCCCTGGATAATATCGATGATATCTTTTACGTCTACATGAACGTTTTAGGCCTGAAAAAGGTATTTGCTTGAAGTAAACATATACAATTTATTGTCATGTAATCGTTTTCAGTTGAAAGTAAATCCGTTGAGGCAATCGTTTGATGTGAAGATAGGAAATGCTCTTCCGATCGACTGGATCTACACTCCGATCATAACACTGTACGCACAACAGCAGGATGAAGATAATAACATCACCGAAGATGATTTGGTCTTCACCATCACCAATTGCCTGAGATGGGTGTACATCTACGAGACGTACTTTCCTAATTTGGCTTCGATGATCGATAGTACCGAACGCTTCTGCCGACTTGCCTGTACCTTTTTAGGCAGCGACAGTTTATTTTTAATACCAGAAGTCGGGGATCTACTTTGGCTGTGCCTGAGATCTGTACTCATAAGCGAGGATACACTGGATTTTGAAAGAAACATTCACGGTCTGTGCAACTTCCAAGACTTCTTCACGCAACTCTTGGAGCAGTACGAAGGCGTCAGCTACTGTGATATCCTCTTCAGTAATTTCGTACTGATTCCTCTCGCCCAGAAGCATGATGTCAAATATAGAAAAGCCCTATGGTCGGAATACACTGGAGTCGTGCAAGTGTTCAATCTCACTGAGAAAGATGTAAGTTTAATTAACTTTTAAAGTCAGTCTGTACGTTACTCTTTTGCAGATGGCCTTAGCTATTGAGTCATTTTTGGAGCCAGAGGAAACAGATGTGACTCTTCTAAATTGTTATCAACGAGTGTTGGCTTCTGGCAAAATAAGAACTAATTCGGTCTTGTACAAAATTGCCAAACACCATTGGAAAAAGTACATTGCTAGACGAAACACTAATGAAAATGAACAAAATCTTGATTAGTTCACTAATGCATCCAAATATGTTGATAATTATATATATTTCAAAATATTTTTTTAAATCAAAATTATAGATGTGATCATGTTATATGTTATAGAATCTTACAAAACTAATGTGTTTGTTAATTTATTATTATTTTTGTAAGATTTCTGCATTTTTTTTGTAATACATTTATACATATTTTTGATATTTTTTTAATATAAAATAAATGCTGAGATTATAATTTAATATTGTTTCAAAAAGACGTTGAGAAGTATAAAGAGCGCAAAAATAGTTCAAATGAATCAAACATTATGCCGCCAAATATGTTAATTTTTTTTATTGAAATTATTATTTCTTTTCAATAATAATTTTGACAAATATGTATTTAATGTTACTTTAATCCCTTATAACATTCTAAAATAATCATATATTTCAATATATTTTTCAGTTGTTTACAAATAAATAAGAAAAGAAATAGTTCAAATAAATTAAACAGTTTAGGCGCCAAATGAATTCAAATTAATATAATTTCTTCAACTCCTGTTGTTGATATGTAACTAAAAATAATATAAAATTTAGTTTTTTTCTCTTTTTTCTTCGAAATACTAGCATTAATTTGATTATGAAATTCGTTAATTAAAAGATATTAACTGAAAAAACTTTGTAATCAATATCAGATTATTCGAATTGTATTTTATGATTTTTTTTATCCAGTTAATGTAAATTAATCTAATCGAATTGTTATCATAGCTTATCAATATTTTCAATTAGGTCATATTTTTAAATTTCTAACGTGAAATGAAACAACTTTTTAGTAAATAAGCGTTTCTAGGATAGAAAGTAAACTGGCTGTTCGAAGTAAACGTTTGGTTTCTGAGAATGCGACGTTAATTGAATAATTAGAAGGACTTTTAAATTGATTCGGCCTTTCTTTAACGGTACATTTTGTGTCTTCACGTTGGTAACGTTCGTCCGGGGTAAACACCTCTTCCATCTTGCGATTACACATGACGCTTCGCCTGTGCCGGTCAAAAGCCTAGTTTGCTATTGTTTATAAATCGTTGAATTCCGGTCGGGAAGGAATAGCAAAAATTTGCCCTGAGATGTAAGTAATTTTGCATTTGATTTCGATTGATTTGCGCGCGAAATGGAATCGTCCCAAGATTCGCTCCTTAAAAAGACCGTTATTTTTATAACAACAAACTAGTTTTTAAATGTCCTCAACCTTGTAAACAAATATTCAATTACAACATGACTTTCCTGTCACTATTGTTCCTCGCTCGATAATGTTTACAAACAAATGCTAATCGCTTCACGCTTCAAATAGTGAAGCATCGCGATGTATGTCATGCTTCGCGGTTTTTGTTAAAAGGACCCCCAAGCTGCGCCTTAAAACTATTCAGTTGGAGTCCAGTATTTTACTCTGCTCTTGTTTTAGATAGATCAACTAGAGGGGTGCAATGAGTGCTAAGAATGGGAAACGCTCTCGCAGGAAGACTGAGGATGAGGAGTTCAAGGCGCCAGTCTTGAAGAAGGTGGAGAGTAAACCTGAGGATGATGAACTGAAGGGTTTCGAGAGCGAAAATGGCGTCAAGGAGGAGGACAGGATGAAAACTAGGAGCCGCTCAAACACCCCACTAAATATTAAAAAGTCTCCACAAAAGGCAAATGTTGAAATGGAAGAGAAAACAGAGGAAGAGGTTAAAGTTATAGAGGATGTAATTAAACCAGAGGAAGAAGTGATTAAACCTGCAAATGATGAAGTGGTAGTGGTGGTGGAGTGTGATGATAAAGTGGATGAGGAGAAGGTTGAAGATGTTAATGGTGGAAGTGAAAAGGAGGAAGAGGTTGTTGCCACAGCAACCGAAGTGCCAGCAACGCCAGAAGAAGCATCACAGGATAACAGCGAGGATATCGAAATGGAGCCTTTGATCGTCGATACGGAGGAGGTCGATCCGGAGCTGCAGTTCGACGAGGCCTCGGATTCGGAATCGCGTAAAGGATCGCCGGTGTTGTCGCGCTGCAGAACCAGGCGTTCGCAGACCCGCAACATCCCTACACCAAAGACTCCGAAATCAGTGATCGACCAGAACGGAGACGACAAAGACTCGGACAAGACGCCCTCTGAACTACTGGATACGCCGGAAGCAACGGACAGCCAGGAATCGACCTCGGAATCCTCCTCATCGCAGAAGACGACGGACGACAAGTCCGAGACCATCGTTAACATTGATCTGACCGACACCAACGAGTCCTTCGAATCGGAGACGAGCATGCACGTGAACGTTGGAGGTGATCTGACGCGGGAGATCGACATCACAGTTTCAGATGAGAGCAGTTTCCTCAATTCTGCGAAGGATTTGAGCGTCGTGGAGACAATACGCAGAATGTCCTCGAGGAGGGCTATCAGATCTACAGGCGATTACAGGAGATCACTGCTCAAGTCGAAGGCGGAGAAGTACCAGTACATTCCTCCAATTCCAGCCCCACCTCGAGCTACAGTACATATCAACAGCGAAGTCGCTGCCACAGCTACCACAATCAGGAGATCCTCTGTAGAGAAGCTGATCGGATCAAAGCGCAAGACGCGCCGCAGCGACTCGCCGGACGGCGCCAAGAGATTTAAGATCACCGATTCGAATCCTGGATTCATGTCGTACATCTCCAGTCCTATCAGCAAGATCAAGAGCAAATTCACGCCCGGTGAGGTGTCAGCAAGCACACCAAAGTTGACTGGCTACAGGAAGCAGGACATCCTGGAGGGCGCTGACTTGAGTAAGATCGAAATCCCCATCCACACAGCGACGCCGTCGCAGCACGACAAGAAGTGGTGCTCAATCATGTAAAACGCGCGATTTACTCTGCATATTATTATTTTTAATCTTTATTTATAAGACGCATGTCTTTTTATGAGCCCCTTCATCATTATATTATTATTTTTACATGTAAGCTGATGACTTGCGAAATATTTTTATTCGGATCCGTTGGAAATGGTTTATAAGAATGTTTACGAATAATGGTGTTTTGCAATGAAATTCGTCTTAAAAAGATATTTTATATATATACATGAGGATTCGTAACCTGGATTAAATGATGAAAGTGATAATTTCAAATGTTCATCACTTTCATCGCAAATTAAAGAAAAAATGAATGTTATTTAGATTTAAGATTTTTTTCTTTCTCTTTTTTTTTCCTATATTTTCTTTCTGTTTCATTTGAGTTAATATCTTGTATCATATGTTTGAATTATTTGACTGATGACCGCCGGTTCTCGGATTATATTGATGTTTAATATATATATATAAAAAAATATTGGCAATAATTGCAAAAATCATGAAAAAATATATATATTCTACCTTTATTACTTTATTATATTGTAAATGAACTTTCTTGTGTTTTCAGTGAAAATGGAAATAAATTTTATATGAATAAACGACACTTTCTTCTTATCCACGCCACTCATTTTTACCACATCCGAAAGACTCATTTCCATGCATTCCTTTAGTTACAGACTGTTCATTTTATTACTGAAAAATAAGTATAAAGACCTCAATTTATGTACCATTAATACTATAAATTTCTATCTTGTTACACCAAACTAAAATCTTAGTAACGTAAACATTTATGTAAATTGTAAACATCGATAAAATTGTATACAGTTTAAAATTATAAAAAAGCAGTTATCAAATTCTAGTAAATATTACTTAAGGTATTTGACCTTCAGACTATGGAAATTAACAGCGACGTTGGATGCGTATTGAATATTAATAACAATAACCCAAAAAAAGTTATTTGTTTGTAATGAATAATTTAAACGTATGTAAAATTATATTTTTACATTAGTTTATGAATAAACGTGTTGAAAATAGAAAACAATCAATCGAATATTTTCATAAATTCAATAAATGAAAGTCAAAGCTTCACTTCTTCAAAAAATTCGTTTTCTAAAGCAACCGAAGAAATTATTTTATTTACTGATTTCAAGGTTGAAAAAGATCATTGACCTTTTGGATCCCAGAATCAGTAAAAATTTAGAAAACTTCGAAGAATTTTAAGAAACTAATTTATTAAAAAAATGTGTTAGTAATTTATTTCCAAGCAAATCTATATTTTCAATTAAATTACTTAAATTTGAATGTTAATGTTTACGAATTCCATTTTAGAAATTCCGTTACGCTTTACTTCTTCCCCATAAATATTACTATCTAATTTTGAAGTGGCTGAGATAAGAAACTATTATCTCTTCATTTGTAGATCAAAAGTAAACGTTGGTTCTTAAGTAGCTACTTCCTCGTTACGGAGCAATCTGCTTCTCGTCCTCACTTTCTCTTCGACGTCTCCATTACAAAATACCTGATCTTTTTTTTTTACCTGAACCTTTCTGCTTAATCATGATAAAATCTAATTAAGTCTACAAATGTTGTAACTTGTATAAGGTGAAAAGGATTGAACAAAAAAGAAAAGTCGAGTCTAAAGAAGAATAAACTAATGAAACTGTGACTAATGAAATTTAATCTTACCGCATGATGCGAAAAATGTAAATTACACTTTAAATAAAATTAATTATAAAATAACAATGAAGTATTTTCGGCTCAATTGACTTAATGGAGTAATATATTTTGTCAAACCACATATAGAAATATCGTGTGTTAGAGAACTGAAATAGAAAAAATAATCAATCTAGTCAAACAACTAGAAAATAACACAATTGATATAGAAATACACCGAATCTCGTGATTTTACCACTACCGATTTTTTTTCAATTATTTCAAAGGCTATATCCTAGAAACATAAATCTGATGCAACACTCGATATTTCCCACATCGTGCAATATTAATAACTTATCAATTTTTTAGTACGTCCATTGATTGCTGCTACTATTATTGGACAGTAGTTGAAATTCGGCCATATACGAGAGCCGTAAATTCTTGAACAACTGATCCAGCGTCTTCAAATCCTTGCTAACAGCTTTCCTAGTCTTCATCCTCCTTCGCGACTCCGAGCTCTGATTGGAGCCCGAACGATGGTCCTCACCGGAAGGACCTTTGCAGACGATAGGCTCCAAAACCACGTACGTCTTCCTCCTGAGATACATACCGTCCTCATCGCTGGAAGTCGACAAAACGCCGCTCAGTTTTCCAGCTTTAACGTTTTCCTCCGTCCTCCCCATACTTTTCCTATTTATAGGAGGCAGTATTCTCTTATTGGATTCGCCGATTGATAGAGAGGTTCTTAATTTTTTAGCCATTTATCGGACAGCTGCGAGTTCGCGTGCTGCCATAATAAGAGCGCAAGACAAACTGATAATAAAAAAGACTAATATTGAAACACCTCAAATGGATTCACACGCGATCCCACGGCACTAGAGTTTAATGTTTTATTACCTGACCAACATCAACGCAAACGCAAAGTTAATGAAATATGCATATTGATGTACAAATTACTTATGAACGTCCAATCAAATTAAGTTGATAAACTTAGAAGAAGGGCCGTTCCCCTCTTCACCCAAAAATCGGAGTGCTCCACTCCGCTCTTCAGATCCACGGCAACGACGAACGATGGCCATCCTTGTGTACCGGTTCTGATTGGGTAATAGTAGCAAGGACTCGAATACAATCCTAAACAAAGTTTATTTTTAGTGATTGTAGGAGAAATAATAAATTACATTTTCAAAATACGATTGGTGCATTTTTTAAATACCTTTGGTTTTCTTTTTGAGCTGTTCTATAGGTTTGAAGTGAATCAGTGGCATCGGGCAGACCAATTGCATTGGCTGTGGTTCGATCAGACAAGAATTCTTCTTATCCCATCCGGCGCCTTCCAAGAATAAGCCTCGCACATAGACACCGACGTCTGGTCTAAGTTGCACAGAATTATCATCGGTAGTCAAAACTGTGAATTCCCAATTCAGAGTATCGATGGGCACTTCCATCATTCGAGCGGTCGTCTTTACGTTTGCATTAATCGTAGATTAAATTGTGAGTAATGAATGCATTTGTTGCACTTACCTGTAGGACTGCAGTTAGGAAACCTGTTGGAAAGGTATAAGATGCCAACCAGAAAAGCAACGGAGGGTGAGTGGTCTCAGCCCATGTTTCGAAATGATCAATTCTTCGTATCAGATCTCTGGTCCACGAACCTAGCAGCTTCAGCGATGGATAAGCTAGTAGGAAGCAGTAATGTGTAATATTAGCTTAAAACAACAATCATAAGTTACCTTTTAACCACGACGAAGGCACACGACCATCGTAGAAGCATGTAAATATTTCCTCAAGCTCAGTGGACATAACAACTAACCCTTTTATTCCCTTTTGAAGTTCGTCCAAAGATATTCGAATTTGTATAAGCAAAACATTGTACCTTCATGGAATCATTAAAAAAATGTATTGGAAAATAAATTCTGATTAGCTTACCTAGAAATTTCTTGCAGCAACACAACATCCAATGGTGACTTCATAGGCCCCATTAATTTCTCCGTGTTCTCGTAGTCAATTGGTTCTGGTATTTTCGACAAAACATCTGACGCCAATTGAGAAACCTATGAACAATATATATTGAGTTTTTGTAGATAAAAACCTGCAAGTAAGAAACCTTTTCTTCTTTGCTCTCTTCCTCACTGCCAGACGCTTGAACTTGTAGAGACATGAGTGTTCCGAAAAGTGACCTAGTCTCTGAGATCAGAGATGTTATATCGGCATTCGGATGCTGTCCGAAAGCTTCTGGTCTATCCACATTGGGCAAAAGTGTTATGTAATCCTGGTAGGATTGCAGCGACCCGTCGCGAGGTATATAATAAGTACCGAGCGAGGATAGCCTGTACAGTGGAGTGTTTAAAGCATCCTCGCAGAAATAATGGTTTATGTAAGTCAGGAGCACCCTTCTATCCCAATCGTCGGTTACGTGTCCACCGTAGTTCACCCCAGCTATCAAATACTTCAACGCATCCCAAGGTGTTATATTCTGGTATTCATCCAAGTAAATCGTCAGCAAATTTTCGGATACCTCAAAGTCGGAATCGTTGAAACTGTACACAACGTTCCAACCAAGCTCCTGGAACTTCTTCCTCTCCAACAGTACGGAGTGGAAAAAGCACAGCGAGAACAATAACTTCTTGTATTTCTCCTTGCTGTGGCACAAATTGAATTGCTCCTCCGTCACTATCTGATAAAGCCGCTTCAAATTTGCTTTGATACCCTGAAAGAAAAACAATTCAAATAAAGGTAAATTATCAGTTACTTTAACTGCTTTTACTCTAGGTGGTTCCGTTGTCATTTTAATTGCAGCTTGTAATATTGATATGGGAAATTCCGGATGAGGACTGGAGCTTAACCATAAACGAAACTTGGGATTCACTTTGCCAATTTGCAGAGTTTCCACGATTTTATCCAATTTGGGCATCCAGCTCAAAGATAAATGGCAATTGGCTAAGAACACCCAATTACCCTCTTTGGCACCAGTGGCTAACATCCTGGTAGCAATTGGAGCCTGCCCTTGTCCCAAACTCAAAGCGTGAAATCGCGAAGTCATCTTGGACGTTTCGGCCAATTGTACCAAAGAATTAGTCGGATCCACGCCCGGCGATAAGACAAAAATGAGCGGTGTTTGAGCTACGGATTCCTGCAAAACTTGCTTAACATCCAGAACAGGAGGCTCCACAAATCTACTGCCCAGTTGATTAACAATGAAAGTAGATACACAAAATGAAATGCGATCCATTCTCAAAGAACGAATGAACAACATTTTTTGGAATTCACTACAAATATCCTCCCATTCGCCTAACAAAGGTTGTGTTTCAGGTTCGGTGTGTATGTACCATTGGTACCAATCCCTTGGAAACTGCTCGAAGGTAGTCACGACCCCATGGAAACCTCCAACTTTATCCATTTCCGTAATATTATCCCAAGAGGTACCATCCATCCATGAACAAGGATTATCAACTTGATTCTCTCTATCCAAAACGACTCCGCCTTTAAGCAAGAAGTTGTATTCCGCAGAGATAATTTTGCCTTGTCCTTCCAAAATTTTGATACACATGTGGAAGGAGAACAATAACTTATGCCGCTCGAAAATTGCCCTACAAGTATTTTTGTATACAGCGTAGGTATGAAACTCGTTCAATATTTCGATCCTCTCATCCAAAATCTGCGACTTTGTGCTACGATCGATGGATTGAGTAAACAAGAATACGTAAGCATCCAAGGCAAATTGGTACATCGGATCAATTTGTCCCATATCGTTCAGAACAAAGAAGAGAATTGAAGCTCTTTCAGCGCACGATCTGTAACCTTCTCTGGCTGCATCAATTTCCACTTCGGTTTCCTCCGAAATCTCTAAATTTTTTTGCACAGTGATGGATGTTTGCTTGGATGTTTGCAATGTATTGAACAAATCTGCGTCCTCCAACAAAGATCCTCGCGTCTCGTTTAGCAATCTCAACAAATCGTTTTCCAATTCAATCAACGTTCTCTTACCCTTAGCAATGCTAGTAACCATGTCATCTTTCTGCTCTTCCAACTGCGGCTTTTCCTTTCGCACAATTATACCCAACAATTGAGCTTCTAAACCTTTTTGCTTAATAGCGAAATTCACCAGAGTGGTCTTTGTAGAAATTTCCGGCGGATAATGAGGATTGTTCAATTTTGTCGTAATGAAAAACCGGAAATGTTCATCGTACGATACCATTCGATCGTCCAGTTTGATCATCATCATTCCACCCTGCTTAACCACGGCCTTATCCAAAATAGGATTTAACGATGGATCCATGGTTTCACTAATGTTTTGAAGAAGCACTGGCCTACCTAGTTGCACTGATTGCTCTACGATCTTCATAAAATCTGGCATACCAAAATCAATAACCTTGAACAAAATTGCATTATTACATCAACTTCTTTAATATTTGTGTGGAATACTTTTAGTTCGTTGACCATTTCCATAGCCTTTATCCATTTCTGCGCTTGACACTGTGGATCTATAACCAAAGGCCACCGAGTACCTCTGACCACGATTATACCGTTTTCTGTACTAAAGTCATCAGACGGCAAGCCTTGAATTATCCATTCTCGAATACTGGTGGGATCAGTTAGGAATTTGATGATTTCAAAATCGGGATTCGAAGGAATATCCAATTCTATAATCTGTTAAATAATTATTTTTAATAATAATAGTGTTTAAGTTGGTTCGTTACTTGTTGAATCCAGTACTTAATCATGTCGTCTCGATAATTCGAGACGAATGGACCTAAATATGAGACGAAAGCTGTGCCCAAGAGGCAATCTCCTGGTAACCACTCGAATATAGTATCTAAATTAGCAACGGTATTCTCCCAACGAATCTTCTCTCCTCCAAGATTTTCCACCAACATTGAAGCCCTTTCCAATTTAATACGCAATAATTCAGCCTTCTTATTTAACTCCTCCTTCAACTTAACTTTATCCTCGTAAGCGGCTTGCAGTTCCTCCAATTTCCTCTGCAACTCATCAAGCTTAGCTTGAGCCTCCGCCAGAAGTCTCTGTTTTTCTGCAAGAGACGCTTTGGCATCATCCAACTTGGCCTGCTTAGGTGCAACATACTTCCAAACTTTTGCATATTTCTCTATTGCAATAACCCACATGCAAAGAGATTTAGCAGCCAAAGACACCACTCCAATTTTATCCGGTACAAACTCATCATTAGTTGTGTATACGTTGATTTTCTTCAACGTCTTCTCGCTTATGTGATTCTTATCAAATTCTCGTAAATCATCCAAGAACTTTTGCTCTCCTAGTTGCCTCTTGGCCTCTGTCCACGTAGGCTCCAGCTGCTTTAAAATCATGACAGCTTCCATGACCATCTCCACCTTCTGAGGAGGCTTTGAGTAAGATTTCATCTCACTGATATCTTTCTTATTGAGCGAATCCAAAGCCCTTATTGCTTCCTCTAGTGCAGGCATTGCTTGGTCAAGATCAGCTTGCGCAACATCCGCTAGTTTTTTGCATACAACCTCCTCCTCTGAGATCTTTATCCTCGTCACCTCAACTTCTTTAGCCTGTTCGTCGGCTTCTTTCTGCTGTTGCACAATGATGACCATATACTCCTCGCACTCTTCCTGGTACTGGTTGACCTGGATTTGAGCGTCAGCCAACTCGGCCGACATCGTTTCTACCTTGATTCTGCAATCCTCGATCTTCCACAAACCGTTGCGCAGTTTGTTTGCCTCTGAAGCAGTCTCCCTGCGTTTGTGATCAAGCATTCTAATATAAATCAAATATTAAATTATTTTCCTTCATTTTGTGCAAGCTGCGTTTACATTTTGAATCCGGCGACTAGCTCAATGTAATTTACAGGCGTTACGTAACAGTGCCTCTTCAGTTCCGAAGCCATCCTCTTTGCATACTTTCCAACGGAAGCATGAATTGTTGCAAAAATTGTAGCCACTGCCTGCAACAGTCTATCCTGCGTCGAAAACACCAACGAATCGCGACGTTTCTCCTAACAAATATAAACGTAAAAGTAAGCGACTTTATGTTTCATTTGAAATATACACAATATAAATCTAATTGTGCATTCAATCTATGTTCGATATTATTGAATTGAAGTTGTGTGAAATACCTGTTCTTGTCCAGTTATGCTTTCCACGAAATTAACATCAGCTATATACTTATGGGCAACTTCCAGAAGGGCCGCAACAGGCCAATCGCAAAACCAATCGATGGTCGTGCAATTTATCAATCCTGGATATTGTCTCAATCTGTTTCGAAAGGCTTCACCGATGGGACTCATGCAGAGGATGATGTGCAGATTAGTACGGATTCGTTGAATCAGAAAATTATAGTAGCCTTCGTTCGTTTGGACGATTCCCGCCTTTACAGCTGCCTTGTACAGCTTCGCTTTGATCTTGAAGAAGAAATTATTAAAGATTTAGACTATATAGAATATACAATTGCAAACAACGAACTTCTTCAAACTCGTCCGTTTTATAAAGATTGGCAACTTCGCCGGTGCTCAACATGTTGTTGATGATTTCCAAGAAACCTTCGTCCGTAACTTGCGTGTCGTTGAAGAGAAACGACGTCGGCCTTCCATCGACGCCTGACAAAGAAAACAGCTTCTTCAGATCCTCTTTAAATTCGACTACTTTGTATGATCGTGTCACAGTAATCTGGAACGTCGAGAGTTCGGCCAGGTACGCAGCAATCCTCGACACCGACTGTCTTCCGCTTCCTCCGATACCCACCAGAAGCATATTTCCTCGTTGCTGGGAAACGACTCTGACAATTCTGCAGATGTGGTCTATGGCATCCTTAAATAGCACCAAATCCATTCGCACCACGTTCGGACTAGCGTTATACTCCTCCATCTGCACCTCTAGGTGTTTCCTCACCACAGTTAAATCATTCAAATCATCGTACAGACTGAACGCATGTATGAAATCTCCAAACATAGGAATCTCGCGATTCGTGCAGATCGCGTGGAACGTGAGCTCAAAATGTCTTCCAAGTTGTTCATTTAATTGATTCAAAAACCATTCACGATCCCTAAAAAAATCAAATTAGCATTAAACTAACTTCAAAAGTAAGTTTTAAACAATCACTTTTCATCAATTAATCGATCGTAGAACACGCGAATGCATTCGTGTATCCACAGTTTGAGCATGAATGGTTTGTTATTTCCTATATCTTTGTGAGAGCGCAGTAATCCCTGAAACACCTTAGAAATATCCCTGAGATTGAACAGGTAATGGATCTTAGTAGGCGTCGGCAACATCTTATTGATAACATTATCATATAGTTCAATGGTGGCATTCGTAATGTTCCTAGCTATAGATTTCACTTCGTCGATAAAATCTAAAGTGTGCTGCATAATCATTGTTCCGAATATCCGGAATATCGTAGCTTCCGCCGGAAAAGTCATGTTTATCAGGTTGAATTTACTCTGTAGTCTCTGCGAAATTACATTTCTTCCACCTCCAGGTGGTCCCATACCAGCCATCACCAACATATTCTAAGAAACGAATCAATACCTGTCCAGTGATACTATAATCAAATACTAACTTGTACATATTTCCTCCATTGCTTTTGCCTGTCATACCAGAAGCCGTAGTCAATCCACTGACGCAACAGTTCCAGAGGTGGTTGTGATCCGTAAGTCTCCTTAGCTGGCATATTTAAATCGTCCATGAAAGTAATCATAAACTTTCCACCGGGTGGAGCGTACGAATTTTTCGTTCTCTTCTCTGTTCTACTCTCAATTGCTTCTTGTACGTTGAGAGAAGTTGTCTACGTAAAAATATTTGTTATGATTCAAGAAATATACTTAGTTAGAACTTAGTACCTGAGCGGACATATTGATATTTAATATAACGTATTTATCTTTATCCATTGAATTTAAAACACTTTGAGCAGAAGAAGTTTTACCAGTCCCAACTGGTCCAGTCAATAAAACTGGATAGCCTTTATCCAGAAGAGCGCTTATTAAATATTCATATCGTACAGTATCAATAGTCGGGACTACTATTTTGTGATAAGGCAACCTACATAAACAAATCATATTACTCATAGAAATATAAATTTGTGTTTATAATAGTGATAAAACTAAACGGATATATTACCCCTCATCATAACGCCAAGACATGTTGAGCTTCTCCTCCCAAGGAGCAAAGCACTTATTCTTGATGTCAACGTAGTACTCGTAAATAGTGTCCTTCAATGGAAACACTCCTTCCTTTTCTCTAATGAACGTGTCCATCTTCCTACGACCGTTCTCATCCACTGTTCCGCAAACTGACCAAATCATACTACAATCCAAATTATTAGTGAGAATATAAAGATAAAAAATCATTGATTGATACTATACCAAAATAAAAACCATATTTTAATCATATCTTCGAACGTCTCCTCGTTCGTAATATCAATGCCATTCTCTTTAGTGGCAAACATCTCAAGTAATTTGCAAAATGAAACCACCAAATTCAGTTCAGAAGTTACGATGGTCTCTTGACAATTCAGCCGTTTAAATTCCAAGATAGTATTTAAATAATAATTGAAATAATATTTCATCTACAAACAAATTTGTAATTATGATTATACAAGATTCGTGATAAAGGAGAAAGTTTTTTTTGTGTTCTAAATTATTTACCAAGGTAATATAATCTTTCCCTCTATTTTCGACCTTTTGTAACCAGGAGGTTACAAAAGGTTGCCATCCCCAGTCCTTGTAATCATTGTAAACCATACCGCATCTGCTAACTGTTGCTGGTGAAGCTACAGTAAGATCACCAACTTCAAATAGAAGCGATACCTGTTCCGGCATTGTTATACGATCACTGTTGATCAGAGTCAACACTTTGTTATCATCCATCACGCTGTTCATGTTTTCAATCCACACAGCATCAACGGGTCCATCAAATAAAATCCACTTCTCATCGGGACTTTCCTCTTTAACAAATTTATATAGTTAACATAACGTTACGTTGACGTAAAGTATACAAACTAAATTATATCGATTAAATACCTGCGCAAGTAATTCTCATGATAGAACTTATAACTCCGTCGAGCCATTCGTTGGTGCTCAGATTATATTCCCCATACAGTTCAGCAAGATTCAAGGCTTTCGGATTGATGGGATATTCGTGAACGACTTGAAAACCTGGCTTTCCTGCCCTTTTCAGTCGACCCATGCAACCCTGCAAAGCTTTCCACGTAACAGTTTTGGCGGTACCAGTCCGTCCCAAAATCATGACTGAGTGTCGTGAATTCTTTGTTTCGTAGAGCTGGATCACTTTGGTCAAGGCTGTGGCAATGCACTGCAATCCGTTCTCCTTCAAGTGGCCCGAGATTGCAGCATTCATATCTTCATAATCAACGGATGGAAGAGATATCCCAGGGAAAATGTCAGACATGATTCCATTGAAAAGTGGAAGATCGTCGGCAGTCAGCTTGGCAATATTCATATCTTTCATTGCAAGATAAACTATTTCCTCTTCGGGAAGATGCGACAGTTGTCTCCTCTTTTTACCTGCATATCTCAGCAAGGCAACCATTGATCTCAGACCAAAATCGTAATGGTCTTGTTTACTCAATTGACGAATTGATAATTGATACAGAGTGAATACCTTCAACCCCAAATTACAACTTATACTTAATATGCGGAAAATAGTCTTACCTTCTTTGCAAGAACTCGAGCGTTCTGAAATCCATCGCTGAATAACGTATTTTCTGCAATAATAACACTATCCGGAACCATCATCGAAATTGGTCTGAACATAGACTTTACGTTATCCGGAAGTTCAGTTCTTCCTGCATAACCAGGATTCATAGTTATAAAAATACCGCAGCTGTGTTTCAAATTAATCTCAATTCCTAAAGTCAAAGATTAATTTAAATAATAGAGTTTGTATGTATATTTATAGTAGATTATTACCTTCGAATATAAAGGTCTTTACTCTTTGTGAAATAGCTGCTAGGATGCACATAATCTGTTGTGCAACAACAGATAAGACCTCAATGTTGATTCTGTTGAACTCGTCGAAGCATCCCCAAGCACCGGTTTGAGCCAATCCCGAAAAGCATTTGCCCATACTCTTGAAGTCCAGCCCTTCGGAGCAGTTATTAACTATCACCCACATACCCATAGCTTTGCCCAAATCTTTCACAGTTTCCGTTTTTCCTGTACCTGCAGGACCTTTCGGGCTTCCACCGCGGAATAAATGCAAAGCGGTTGTCAGAGTTATATAACATCTAGCAAGTATACAAATTTGGTATATAAGCTATGTAAGTAAGATAGTTAAATGTATACCTATCCGTTAGAGGTGTTATAACCAAGCGTCCTGAATTCCCATTGTATTCGTATCCATACAGAAAATGGGTGTTGGTCTGTCTGATTATGCAATCGTCTATTTCTCTGTCCCAATAGAAACGCAATTGAGAAAACCATTCGAATGCACCAGTATCCATACAATCTGCAAGTTACAATAAAATAGTAGTACTATTCAACCAGGAAAGCGTTACAATATAGTTATACCAATACTGCTAACTTACTTGCTCTGTACATCCTATCAATGACATCCCTGGAGTGAATCTCTATGGTGATCAGTGTATTTGCTTTCAATCTTTGCAACTTAGGCAATTCTCTTCTGCTCAATTCCGAAAGCTTCAGCAAAATCCTATTTTGCTTTTTCCGCAACCTCTTTAAAGGTTTCTTACTTTCCGTGAGCTTGCAGTGCACCAGAGCTCGAGTACAATCAGTAGTCCATTGCATCTAAGAAAATAAATATATTTGCAAGAATATAATAATTTCAAAATATTTCATACTTGGCTGCAAGCATTGCACAGCTGTCCACAATAGGATAACAACCATTTATCTCTCTTGCTCAGCATTTTACGAAGCGCAGCTCTGCAAGGTTTAAACTCTGTTTTCAGAGTGAACCTCATCATCGACTCCACATCGTTCAGCCAGTTTTCTACCTGACCATCGATGATTACCATCTTGGTGAACTCCATATACTCTCCATCTTCAGAAATCATGCCGATTGCTTCAGATTTCATGGTGATCGCATTCTTCTGCAGCTTCAGTTTGTTCAGATTGTCGAACAATTTCTTGAAGTGCGGCTGAACTGCTTCTGGTTTTTTAGCGTTGCCCAAGATCTCCAACATATCGTCGTTGGATATGAAGTAGAAGCGTGGAAAGACGTGTCGTTTCGTCTCCAGATACAACTCGAGTGCTCTTTGGATCAGCTCCAGCTTATCGTTCATCTTGTTCAACTTGTTCAGTAGTTGCGGCGCAGGAATAAATGTAACGCAACGCATAGCGTTTTTTCCTCCTGCCATTCTCGTTGAAATCTCCTTCCAATCGTCAGTCAAACCATCAAATTCTAAAGTTTCTTTAGGCATTTGCCTCCTAATATCCTCGCCTCCAAATATATTCTAATACAACAAGAATAGTAACTATGTTTATCAAATATGCTTGGTTTTGGGAATACCTCTAAATAGAGCCATTGTCTTTGTACGTTCAAGGCAGTTTCCAAAGTTTCCATAATGTACGATAAACGCCTTTCCCACATATCCACTTCTTTAGCAAACGGCTCCACAAACCTAGTGCTCTTCATCGTTGACAGTTGCATCATGTTATCCTCCAACATTTGGAAACAATCATCGACTGATTTGATTCTAGATGCAGAAATAAATTCATTTTAGAATTTCAAATCCCCATACAATTACCTAAAGAATCCTTTGTAAGGTGCCATCTCGATAGTAACAAGCTTCCAAGTATCCGCAATAGCTTTGATACCCTTTTCGATAAGCAACTCCATGGTTGCCGCATTGGAGATTTCATTGATTTGCTCAGCGTAATCAATCATCCTCATAGCTAAAATAGCTTCCAGATTAAAAGCTGGCGAATTCTGATCGAAGTCTTCGTACATCGCAGCACGCACACGATCCCAATGCCTGGGTCGCATCGCAGGGTTCTTCAAATCTCCAATCAAAGGTAAAGTTCTTCTGAACGCATCCACCCTTTGTCTGGTATGCTCAACAATAGACCAACTATTCACAAAAAAAAATCATTAAATCACTAAAACATACATCATCTTAATCATCAAATACTTTTTCTCTTTCAACTCTCGTGCTAGTTTCGTCAACTTCCTGAACAGAGTCTGTGCAGTCTCCTCCATGTCGTCGGTCTGGATGCCCCAGAATTCGCCAGTTTTATACTTGTTCCAAGCTATATCCCATTCTTCTGTTAAGCCCCAAACGATTTCAAGCGTGAGCATTTCCTAATCAATTAATATAGTAATACAAATTTATTACGCGTGTGATATTATACTTTTTCCAGTGCGTTTAAATCCTGAGACTCCATCAAACTCAATTCGAAGATGCCCAAATTCTCTTTAACCAGAGCTTCTCTCTCGCGTAGTTTCGATATGTTTTCTCTCATCATCTTCAGGAAATTTTTAGCATCTGACACCTTGACATCATGACTAAATGGTCCTGTGGTCATGAAGGTATCCAACAAATTGCACGCTTCTCTTTTGATATCCTCAGATTCTTCCAATAAATTATTTCTGAATCCGTTCTGAAAATACATGATTTATGCAATACTAGGTCCAGTGTGTAACAGCTTTTTTTTCAAATAGGATAACAAGAAAAGGATGAATGATTCAAGGATATTGTTAAAAAGTCAGTTTGTCTTAGTAAAAATATGTTTTAGTTAGTCTTCCTACAATACATTCATATAATGTAAATATGTAAGCTATTTCATACAAGGTCAATAATCAGTTTTTCTGTATCGTATTTGTACAAAATACCAGTTTAGTTACATTGGTCCTTAAATAATAAAGTAGTACAGAAACCTTACTCATGAAGAGTGAAAATGTAAGTAAGAAAACTTAGTTATAAGCAGGATCCGGGTATATGTAATACTCCGGATTGAACACTACCTTAGTAAACTCGATCATCTTATCAGCTTCTTCTAGCGTCAGCAAATAAGCTTCCCAAATCTGCGGTATCCCTTTCATATTCTTCCTGACCTCATCCGGTATTTCCATCCCATACTTATCAAGTACTTCAGTCTGCTCAATAATCTCAACGAATGCCTTCTCCTCCTTGGGCGCTTCATCCACCAACCTCTCGTAAAATAGAATCGCATTCTGCATTTCCTTCAAGTTCTGCGGAACCACCATCACCCTAAAACATAAGCAAATGCAAACATCGCAAAAACCAAATACTGAATATAATACTTTTCGGAATTTTCTTTCGTGTATTTGTATATCCAATTGACCATCCTCTTGGTGATTTTAAACAGCAACGCCGTAAGCTTCTCTTGCCATTTAATACAGTGATCAATGATGGATTTCTTCAGGTTATTGCAATCGACGATTATGAAGTACACTATGGTCACGTTCTCGATAATCTGAACGTTGTTTGCGAGCTCCGTGTATCGACCAATGTTCGCATCGAATTGGCTTGCAGTTGGGTTCTCCTTCTCGTACATGTCAATAAAAAGATCTTTGTTGAGTTCCCAAAGGTCTCGGAACGGCATCCACATCTGCATGTACTCTCGCATCTTATCCACGTTCAATTGAACCTCTGATGAACATCAATAAACTAAATTGCAATATCTATAATTATAATTGGAAATTACCTTTGTTGATTAGCTTTTGCAACTTGTTGCATTCGGCGTCGCTGTTGATGAGGTCGGAAAAGCTCCGAATTCTTGCATTTTTAATGTGAAACTTCTCTGATATCCTAGGCACAGCGGTTAGGTTCAATGTGATGGATGGTAGGATGTCGGCCATGTGAGTGGCGAAGCTGCTTAAAGTCGGCACAAAGTTGATCTGCAAGGAATGGATTTTGAAATAATTTTGTAGAATTAGGATCTGATAGAATACCTTGTTATGTTTCAAATGGGTCTCTAGATTCAAAACAGGATTTGGGCCTGTAACTCCATCGCCGTGAAGCGTTTCGTACACGTGCTGCAAAGAGTTCTTCACTGTTACACGAAGAGCTTCCTCCATCAAAATATCAAATTTGATAATGTATTTAATCCATTGCTCAGCCATATTTTGTATATTTTGCTCAAATCCTTCGTAAACCACAATCAAGTATCGAATTATCTGCTGATAGTATTCTATGAATTTATCAATGGTCTCCTCCCTAGATTTGTTGATGATATTGAAGAGAACATCCATGTCGTAGGAAACTCCAGAGGATATGTGTATAATTGGAGAATCGCAAATCTTCTCGCAAATAGCAACAATCTCCAAATTGCACGTCTTGTAATCTGTGACGAAATCTTGTAGATCAGACGTACAAGCACTGCATTCCGCAATGTAAGCATCTCCGAGATCCGTATTCCAAGTGAGCTTCGATAGTCCCGGACTAATCTTCTTTTCTACATTGAGAATCAACTGTTTGAACAAAACCCTTTCCTCGTCCCCCAACGACGCAATCAAATTATTGTAATCTCGAACAACCTGCACGACGTTCTCAAAAATGAACTTCAAGGACGTCACCTTCGACCACACATAGTTGCAGTTGGACGGAACTTCGTATTTCATGGCCAGGAAGTAGCGTATCTCTTGAAAAATTTGCAACAACTTCCTGAAAATTATCAACGTAATCAAAATAATGTAATAATAAAGTATGTAATAACTTTATTTACTTATCCATGTTGCATTCAATCAATCCGGGTCGTGATGCGCTTCGACACATCAACGGCCTATCCAAACGTTTGGTAACGTCTTCACCGACGTTCTCGTTAAACCTCCTGAAGAGGTTCAAGACAAGCTCATCGATGGAGCTAATCAAAGATTCGTACTGCAGGAAAACTTCCTCGGATATGCTGCAAGGGGACATCCAATGCGCCGCCTCCAGCACCTTCTTCAAGATCTCCAGACGGTTCTTCTTCATCATAGCCATGGCTGCTCTTCCCGCGTAATACGGCATATTCACCGGATACTCATCTTCATCCGATACCAAATCTGATTTGCAATCCTGAATTTCGTTTCTAAACAATTGATAAACCTGCAAAAATAATCATTAAAATGAGAAACACAGATTTCTAAGCACGTTACGTAGAGCGTTTTTCTGTCAAAGAGGGATTTCAAAGTTGATCTTTTAGAATAATTGTAAAACGCAGCAAGAGCTTCTACGCCCTCATCCACAGTGGGAATTTGATCGAAGACGCTGTTCACCAGATTTTCAATTACTATTTCGATATCCTTCATTCGGCCACGAAATTTTAAAATCTCATCGTACCACTGCGAAGATTGTACATCCAAAATTATAGTTTTTACCTAAAAATGTTAGAATTAACATAATTGATGCACCAATTAAAAAAATAATGATAAATTACAGCATGGACTTCGTACAAACTATCGGAAAACATGTCTTCGACTTTCTCGCACCATTTCTCAAATTCCATAGCTCTAGTACCGCTGAACCTGTAATAATTCAATAATATTAAGTAATGTAAATTATACAGAGAATTAGTAACTACTTTGGTTTAGGTATATCTTCGGTTTCATCGAATCGACCAAAGTTGATCATTGCCTCGCAAATTTCAATCATATCGTTGCAACGTTGAATGAAAGATTCCATGTGGCTGAAGATCGGAGATCTTTCCAATTTCCAAGGAGTCGTTCCAAACTCTGTATGCGCATCAGACATCTACAAAATATTCTAAAATACAAACTGAAATACAAAGGGAATGAATTTACAATATCGTAAAGCCTCATGTAGGTTTTGCAACTGGCAATGCACATCTGGAAAGTGTTTATAGCCTCTTTACTCTTTTTACTCTTGAACACAGTGTTCAGGTCGATGAACTCGATGCACCGCACGATGATTTGAGTAGTCAAAGCCTTGCAGAGAGTCGTTATTCTCTGATCGGTATTATAGTATTTACTATTCAACCAAATGTAGCGGATCAAAGTCAAGATGGGTGGAATGGTTTCAGGTATTTTATCCGGAGATTCCACGTTGTTCAGAGCACCGCACGGATCTCGAATTATTTGCAAATACTCAATATTTGATTTGGCTTCCTCCAACTTTCCACTGATTTCATCCGCAACGGATAAGAACTGTTTCACGTAAAGCGATTGAACGCTGACCAATATTTCCGTGGTGTGTTTTAACTTTTTGCTGGTCAATTGCTGTCCGACACCCGTCAAATTCTCATCTGAAATACACATTTTAGTATTTGCTTAATATAGTTATAAACGTAGATTTACATCTCGAAATCCAATTCTGGATTTCATCCAAGGGCGTTATCATGCTCTCTTTAACGCCCGTATCTTGATCTTGGAGGATAACTCGAATCTGACTCGTCCAGTAAACCACTATGCTCTCCAATCTTCGGACGAGCTCCTTGTCCTTCGTGGCTTCCTCCACAGACATATCCAATCCTTCTTTAGGAATGTAAATTACAGTCAAACCAATCATCTTGTAGCTTATGTCGGTCAGTTTGGCGAGAAAGTTGTGTAAGTGACTGCAAAAATCACTTTTCACATCTGAAAATCAAAAATAAATCACCAATTGTAATATAAATAAGTAATTACATGAAGATTTTTTTGAAAAATCATAATAAAAAAATACTCACTCTCTGGCCAATTCTTAATTTTGAAGAAGATCGGTGCGTAAACATTTTCGAGAACTTCGAGTAACGTGGACTCGATGCTGCTGTGGACCGTTCCGAAGATGATGTTATCGTGGAAAGTATCCACTTGGAAGACTTCGTTAGGTTCCCTGATGAAATACGTAAGATCCTCGTAAACGCAATTAGGATACTCCACGGTAGCAATCAAATCGTCCCCATCGAAGTATATGCAGAGGATCTGCTCACGTGGATCCATGAGGAAGTTGACAATGCCGCTCTCGTTGAGCTGATTCCAATCCGTTTCCCGCAAATCGTACAACGTCGTAATTCCCTTGACGAATCCTATGAGTTTCCCAAGTTCCTCCTCCGTATACTGGGGTCTATCCTCAGCCTCCGACTCTTCAGCGATCTCCACATCATCTTCGACAACGAAATCCTTCTCCGAGAACAACGAATCCTTAGATTCGACGCTCTTTTCATCGTCAAACATTTCTTTTTGCTAACACTGTCACACAATCGACACCAGAAAGAAACCTTTCCGGTTTTGTTTGATCAATAAACAACTCACCATAACAACGATCACTCTCTTTTTGTTTGCATCTGACGTTTTGTGCTTATGTGATTTTACACTTGCAACATGAACTTCTTCATATTCAAATTCAGTAGGGAGTGTCGATTCCAGATGGCCCTCGCCTTCACCATCCTAAATCTGGTTCAGGCCACCCTTGGAATGCTCATAGCAGGATGGTCTTTGTATCTTTGCTTGGAAGTTTCCAAACATCTGTATGCGGAAAAAGCAGAGATCACGTTCGTCTTCACGGTCACAGCACTCTACGGAACGCACATCATCTTCCAATATTTGATGGGCATAAAGATCTGCGCAAAATGTTTCAACAAAGCGCACAAGTTCGAATCTCCTCAACCTTTTACAATAAACCTGACTTATACCCACGCTCAATTTTCAGGAGAAGCACAAAGAGACACCTATATTTCTGGTTGGCTATCGGTGGTAACACTCTTCTAAACGTGCTCATCCTATCAACGATGTCTGTAAAGATATCTAAGCACATCGTGCGATCCATCAGGCATTCGATGGAGAAAGGTATGCGGAATTATCTGAAGGATCCGCTTTGGAAGCACACCATTGATAGGTGGCAGTTCCATTTGCAGTGCTGCGGAGTGAACAACTTCAAGGATTGGTACGAAATCTCTTGGTTAGATAAGTACCAATTGGATGTTACGAGTGACGATGTCCAAAGGTTCGAATGCATGAACAATCAAAGATTGCAATATCCTACACTTTATTTATATCATTCAACCTCAACAAACCTCTATAAAGTTATTAGGAATAATAGAATTGTCTAAGGAATTCTCATAACGCGACAATTATCTAGATTATCATAGAATTACACCTTTTATAATGATGGTTGATAAACAGTCAACCATCATTAGGCGACGATATATCGTTTCATGAAATCTGACCTTTATTTTTCTACTTGGCAAGTATCAAGTACAGGATTCAAAGAAAGTCGTCGTATGTGTTAAAAAGACTTATTTATGATATTGTTGTTATTTAGATATTAATAAAATTCACTTTTACTTTTGTTGTAATACTGAAGATTCACAGTTTATACACATGTTACTTGACAAGTATCTCGTAGTTGTCTATTTTTTTCCTTGTAGCTAGGTATTGCAATTTCGTTTAACTGCAACAATAAGAATGTCCTGTACTTAAACTGCAAATATGCAGCTTTCTGTTGTCCAAAGATCATCTTCATCTGCCTGTGGTACCATGGAGCTGCTGCGATATAAACTTTCCGATGCAGTGCTTCCATGATCCTCTGCAGCAGATCCAATCCGCTCACCTGTGGAAAGAACAACCCGAATTCCTGGACGGAACGATCTACAACAAAGGCTGCTTGACCGTGCTTCGAGAGCCGATTGAGGCATCCCTCGTCGGGCTAATCATCGTCACATCCATCTTAATTATCAATCAGGTCGTATATTAAAGAAACTAACAAAAAAAATAAGTTACAAAGTTGAATACATAGATAGCGATAATTGTGATATCCCGATTGTTGTACACGTCCTGCAGGAACGCAGTCGTCCTGAGGGACGTAATGGCTCCGAGTCCCGGCTGGCTCTTCGGAAGGGACTGCTTCTCCGCCACCAAGGGCCGAACCGTCTCCGAAGTGATGTTCGTGAGTTACCACCGCATAAAGCGAACAAAAAGAAAACAACCTAATCTATTCTAATCATATATATATATTCTGCGATCTTATTTAAAGAGTTTGGGGGAGGAAAATCGGGATGGAGAAGTCATGGTGCTTTCAGCTGCGAAGGAAGAAACTAAAACTGCGGAGACTCCAACCGAGAAGCATCGACACTCGAAAGGATCAATCAATCGCAAACTTAACGAGAAGGCGCACTCCCCGAGAGCCAGCGAACACGATCCCGTCTCCAGCGACGAAGAGAACGCCCTCATGCTGAAGTAACAGTGCAAACAACGAGAGGATTGATATATTTAACTTTTTTGTTAAAAAATAATCTTATTCAACTAAAAACATATACATAAACAAAAAAAAAATGTAAAGTAGAGGGTGGCATATATTTAAAACTTATAAAGAAAATACAACAAGGTCTCATATTATCCCAAGTATCATTAAAAACCGATAGCGTTTTTTTTTTGCTTTGCTTTTGTTTCAAAGGTTACAACATACTCTCAAAACAATATAATAAATTAAAAAAAACTCCTTACAAAAAAAAAAGTAGTAGACGAAGAAGGAAGGGAAAGAAAAGAAAATAGTGCCGAAAATATTTAAAAAATAAAATGTACACATGTTATATAATTAAAGATTTCCTTTCGTGTTCCTCTCTCATTAATATAATTACTATTATTTTTTTAATATAGCGATGCTTGTATTGTATCCATTTTTTCCTGTTTGGTTTCATCTCCTTTTTTTTATTATTATTTAATACTAATAGATAATCTAGACACTATTTTTTTTACACGTGTTAATTTTGTATTATTTCGTTTTTGAACCAAAATGATTAAGATTTTCCAAGTACAACAGTTACATGACTTAATTATGAGTTTACTATCTACGAGATTATTCATGTATATATAATTTTTTTTTTGTGTTTTTTTTATTGTATATTTTATATTTCTGTAATATTATTACTATTATTAATTATATTTTTATGCGACTTCTCCTCGGGTATTCTTATTTTTTTCTCTCTTCGCTCCCGCAAATTGTTAGTTCAGAAGTGTGTTATTACGTGTGTTTTTTTATTATTGTTGTTGTTGGTTGTGTGTGTGTACAAATGCAATATGAATCCTCAACCTAATGCTGCAACAAAAAGAAAAGAAAAAATCAAAAGGTAACATTCAACATTGATTTTGGCGTTCAATTCATAATCCTTCAGAACGAAATTTATATACACAAACATATATAATACATACAGAAATAATGAATCAAGTATATGTGCAATTAAATTTAATTTAGAGATTTTTCATATAGTGTGAACTTACACTGTAGTGAATGTATGTATTTGTATATGTGTCTATGTAATAATTAAATATTAATAATAATTACCTGCAATGCCAGCAATAGCTTCGGATGCTGAATATTTAACATCGATATCCAGATCAGCGTTCAGCTTGTCCAGAACTGGTTTGACCTGGGGTTGGATGACAGCCTGGTCAAGTTGCGGGGCAATTTTCTGCAGCGTCTTGGCCACATTGAACCGGACGTTGGCGACTTTATCGTTCGCCATGCTGAGGACTGTGGGCAGGAGGAGCCTGGTGGTGATGTCGCTACCACACGCCTCCGCCAGAACGTTGATGCAGAACAGACAGGTCATGCGGTACAGGTAGTTCTGGTCCCTGGACATGGCCAACACCTTAGGGATGATAGTGTTCTCGGCCCATTCGGCGCCGAACTGGTCGACGAGCTTCCGTAGGTTCAGAGTAGCGGCCTCCCGGATGGCAAAGACATGATCCATAAGCCACGTCATGCAGAGCGAATTCAACTTCTCATCGAAGAACTCTTGCCCCAGTTGTCCTGCAAGCAGGGGCATGTATTCGATGATGGCGGAGCGGACGCGCCACTTGGAATCTTCAGCGAGTTCAACTATGGCCGGAAGCAGAGACTGCGAAAGTTGCTGGATGCCGATGACCTCGTTTACGCAGTCCAGATTGGAGATGATGTTCAGACGCACCTCGGGACATTCGTCCTTCAGCTGCGATAAGAACAGAGGCAGCAAATGTTCAATGGTATTGTGACGACCGAGGATCGGGCTGAGACCCATGATGACCGAGGCCAGAGATGATTTCACGTGCTGATGCGGATCGGCGACCAGATCTTTAACGCATGGCAGAATGTTCGTCATGATTATGCTCTCCTGATGCTGCTTATCGAGGTTCTGGCAGAAGTCTTTAACTTTGTTGGCGGCAGCGGCGCGCACCTCAGCCTCGCTATCCTTAAGCAAACTCTGGAACGCCGGCACCAGATCGTTCCTGGTTATCTCAACCCCGACGGCCTTCTGCAGCTCCGTGAATCTATCCGCAACCATGAAGCGCACCCTCCACGAGGTGTCTCCGGTGCACTGCTTCAGGGTGTGCATCACCAATTGTTCCACGTCCTCCTGAGATAAAAGCGAGGCGATGCTTACACAAGCCTCGACGGCCAGCAGCCTGACGGAGTCCTGCTCGTCCTGGGCCAAGTTGACGAACATCGGTATCAGATCAGATTTCAGGTACTGAAGCTCAACAACCTGTGCTAGCTCGCCGAGCTTTGAGGCAGCAGCGCGACGCACCATCGGAGTATCATCCTGGCACAAAGACCTGAAGTGCGTCAGCAGTTCAGTCTTGATAGCCGGTTGTGATCGTGGATAACAAACCTAAAAAACAAAACAAACGAAATAAATAATCATCTTCATCCATCGTTAAGGACATGCGAATATTTACCGCGAACAATCCGGATGCGGACGTTCTCGAGGTGAACCAATCTCCTGAGGCCAGACGGAAGACGAGGGGAACGAAATGAGCTTCGAGATCACCGGGGTTGTGCTGTGCAGCTACGGCCCTTAGGGACTCTACAGCCTTGTCCCTGACGACGGTCTCCTCGACTGTGGCCAAACTCTCCAGGGGTCTGAGCAACCAGTAGGCGTGCTCGGGTCCACCTACCAACGATATGAAATTACCGAGCTGCTCGGCCAGCGCCAGAAGAACCTCATCCTCGTCGTATATGGTTTCCGTCAGAAACGGAATCAGCTCGGCTCTGGTGCGCTCAACGCCCAGTGCCAAAGCTATCGTGGATAGCTTCTTAATAGAATTCAACCTCAGCTAAAACACACAATCGCATACAATTAGTTCACCCAATTCCATCCAAGAACAACTTTCATTTTATATTCAGATAAATAATAACAAGCATATAAACTTTACATCTTATTATTTTTATAAATAACAGTCTCAAAATTCTCATATTAAGAATTAACAGCTTTCACCAATATAATTTGCAAACAGAACAAGTTGCATTTTTTCAAAAACAAATCAAAAATACCGACAAAACAAATTAATGGATTCTCATCATTGAGCTTAACGTTAATTATTAATATTAAATCGTTGGTTAATCCGTGTGGATGGGATGAGGGCATGCACTGGAAGCAATTCCATTACACATGTACGATTTCGCTGAAGAGCGAGATTTTCGCGCTGACCTAAATATCACCACATCATCGATAATTCGCGCGAAACCTAGGTTTTGCCGTTTTCGAAGCCGCTGCAAACACGCGACAAATTTTATTCAACGCTTATATTTAAATATAAAATATTCATTTAGAAATGCCAATTGAATCAATATACACGTTTTCACATACTTGAAAGAACTAATATATTATTCAATCAATAACTCCACATACACAAACAAAAACAGATTTCTCCCCCCGACAGTTACAAAACAACAGTCTTCGAAATTGATTAATCAACATTAGAGTAAACAAAACAAATTATTATTTTTAATTCCATACATTCAATTAACATAATTATTGCGAAAATCTGCAATTATCATAAATCATTTCAACCGTGTAAACTTTTTATGTCATATCACATTATTTGTAATACAAGATTTTTTTTTCCCAAATCACTTTTCACTCCGTAAAGCACATGTATATAATTATGACTAAAAATAAAACGAACCTAAAAGTGGATTGCGTATATTCGACTATTTAAAATCTTCGGCCGTTCTGTGTGTTTTCTTTTGCATGTTTTGATGATTCAACCGAATAAATCTGTTCGATGTGTGTGTAGGAAACGCAATATGTGCGTAAGTATTGTAAGCTTTGCATCAGCGGAAAATCGAAGATATAAAAAAAAAACACATTCCTAAGCTGAATATAACACTGCGTGGAATCGATTCGAGTATTTAGACAATACAAATATTGTTACAGTTTATTGCGTGGACAACAAAATCAAATCTTATTAAATGCAGTTCTAGCTGAAAGTATGCAAATACGTATATTTTTTTTAACACAAACTGATTTTTTTTGTTTAATAGCCAAGAACGTTAAATCAATCAAAACTATAAATACAAACAAAATTAATACTACCACTTTTTTAAGTTACTTTCAAAACTCGATTTAATCAAGTTTATTTCATTAAATTACTTTAAACCAATCATTATTTTAATGAAATCTATATTTAGAATACATTAGCTACTTGAAATTCACGTTTATAAAATATATTTGCTATTAAAATTAAACGTTACAGAAATCAAAATAAATCAATTATATATAAAGTTTTCATGAACGTTGCCACGTTTAAAATGGTCGCAATTCAAGGACCAATAACAACGATAAACTAAATCTAAATTCAATTAGATTTTACGCGATATCAGAGTACACAAGCAAATATTTGTTTACTACAGATTGGGATAGTCCACAACTATGAATCACTTGCATTAATTTTAATACCAATATCGAGATTAATTAAGCTATCTCAATCTAAATTAAAGCATTGTAGTAGTAATAGTAGTAGTGCAGGTATTTGTTATCAGGTTTCGCTCCCATTGATCGTGAGGTCTTTGTATATGATGTGAATATGTGTAGTGTTTATTTTACTTATTCATCCAAATTCAATCATCGCCACGAACTGCTTAACTATTGTAAGTTATTAAATCAAATATAGCACTAATTTTATATAATTATAACTTAGCACAATTTACATGTTTTTAACCTATTAAATATTAATTACAGCCATTAATTTACATGTACAAGACATTTAGGTATGCGCATGAAAATGATATTTAGTCATGCTTTTATTATCTCATAAATTACATCAAGAAAAAAAGGTATTACTTGTAACAATAAACATTAAATGTCTATCAAAAATATTCTTATTTGAGAAGAATATAAATTACAACTTGAACAATGTTTATTTGAACTAAATCGTTGACCTTATAAAAAAAATAATTGATCTTAACTTAACGATGAATCAAAGTTAAACAGACTGAACACATCACATTTTGTGGTAGATTGCCAATTTAAAAGAAAACCTCCTAACAAATATACATAAAACTGCGTGTTTGTTTCCACAAATTATTACCGATTATTTACTTTGATTACAGAAATATGAAGGTAAGTTATTCAAGAATTTCCTGCTTCTAAATGTACTAAATATAATAACTGATTCACTTGGATGATAAATGCAATAAAAATGCGTCTGGTATGTTCATGACTTGTTAAATATAAACTCTAGTTATTTCACATCAGAAATATTTTTCTTTATTAAATAACAAATATCCATTTGTTTTCTATAATTTTAGTTATAGTTTAAAGTGTCCAAGCATTCAATGATTTAAATAAACAAAATTAGAAATTGAATAAACTAATTATAAGAAATATGATTCACAGCTTGAATCTTGCACCCAATTATTCAATTTTTGTTTCTATTAATGAAATATGTTGAATGATTTTATCTTAAAAATTAAATCCAAATCTTAGTAAGTAATTTGACCTACATCTTGGTTGTTTTAGTTGTGACTAAATGTAAACATTTGGAGAGCGGTAATCAATATCTTTGAATAAATAAAATGCGAGATGATTCTGTATGAAGGGGGTGAAAATGGATATCGCTATAAATAGGAAGATATATCTGTTATTACATAAAGAAATTAGATCAATATATCATGGTGTGAGTGCTCGAATTGACGAAAACAAAAGAAAAATGATATTGATGTGAACATGAATGATTCATGGTTTAATTTAGATTAATAAAATAAGAGTTTAATTGTATATTTGTTTATATTAGTCTGTAATATTCACACAATTATGGTGTATTTTAAAAGAATATTTAAATTTTTCTGAAGTTCTGAGAAATGTTGCAATCAAACCTTTATATACAATAAATTATGTTTAAATGCAGATTTAAGTAATAGTAAAATCGTATTGATTTATGATTTTTAGTGATATAAATTGTTTTTTTTATATAGTTTTTAAAATGATTAATACATCTTAGTTGGTTAAGTAGAGAAATAATGTAAACAAATGAAGAGTAATGTTATAATAATGAAAGTGATCGATTGTTAATATTGATTTTGGTAACAATTTCCTATGATTAACAAATATAAAGAAATAGATTGGTGGATGGTTACAATTCGAAGGGAGTACCAGTCGCAGAGGTGATATAAATTGTTTTTTTTTTATAGTTTTTAAAATGATTAATATATCTTAGTTGGTTAAGTAGAGAAATAATGTAAACAAATGAAGATTAATGTTATAATAATGAAAGTGATTGATGGTTGTCTTGTTAATATTGATTTTGGTAACAATTTCCTATGATTAACAAATATAAAGAAATAGATTGGTGGATGGTTACAATTCGAAGGCAGTACCAGTCGCAGAGGTATTGCGGTAATACTATTTATGGTGGTTTGGTACAAAGTAATCTAATGAGGTATGATCAGAGGAGTACTGTATTATTATAAATAGTTTATGATTATTGATTTATAAGATTTTTAAATTGCTTTTTTTTAGTTAATGCATTAAGTAGATAAAATAAACAAATGAAGAGTAATGTAATAATGACCAATGTGATTGATGAATGAGCTGATGGTAAAATGGCTTATGAAAACAAATTATTGACAAACATAAACAAATGGATTGATCGGTGGAAAGTTACAAGTTGAAAACAGTTCCAGTCGCAGAGGTATGTACTGGGTGATTAGGTGTGAGGTAACCTATTGTGATAAGAACATTGTTTGATAACATTTAGTTTTTTTTATAGAAGGTAGGAGATGATCAAGAAGAGAGTGTAGCAAGGATTCCGTGCGGAAGCGGGGCGGAGGAGGAACAATGGTGGACGGAGCGATGATGATGATGATGCCGTCCGTCATACAATGATGGAGGTTTCGTGCATGAAGAGATATTGACTGAACGTACCTGAACATCTTCGTTTTTGAGCTCGTCGATGAGGACGGCGATTGGATATAACGAGTCGTCGCCTGCGGAATCGCTGGCTGCCATTATCGTTCCGTCTGCTTGTAACTTCAAGTGCGTGTATCAGGGGGGAAAACGAAATACAATTATAACCGCTTCGCTCCGCTCGCAAGAAGGCAAAATACACTTCGAACTTCCTTCCTTCCTTTCTTTCACTGCACTGAAATCAGAGGTACATGAAATGTGAGCATGCGGGGACGCGCTGTGCCGGCTGCTGCTGCGATCGACACTGCCTCTCACGTTTTTGATTATTATTTATGCACCCCGGAACGGGGCGAGAACTTACAAATTTTTACAACTGAAAAAAAATAACGTTGTCAAAATGCGCAGACCTCAATGTGCGTCTGTATGTGTGAGAGTGAGTACACATATATATGCACACATACACGAATTGTCCATACGAAATCGTTAGTATTGGATGGTTGGCCAGAGGGCTCTTCTGTCGCACTGTCACACGCAGTTGCCAACGTCGAAGACACGAACACAAGCTCTACCGCCAACTTTCTAAAACTTAACTACAAACATATTTAAAAATGTATATAATCTTATAACATTAGCTACATTGCCAAGGCAATTTCCAGATACACCAGTCTTTACCTCCACTAAGAAGAACAATATATAGCTAATTATTTCAAAGAGATTTTACCACAAAAAAGGATAAAACTTATATTTGCAATTATTTATAAATTAATCATTAAACTTTGGAAAGTCCATAGTCCGTTTCAAAGATTCAAATGTTTTTCCTTTTTCTTTGTCTGTAATTGCATAATCGTTACAACAAATATTATTAATGTTAAATTAGTTTTCAAAGATTTGTAAATTAATAAGTGAAATGATTTATTTTTGTAATATAATTATTATATGTAATTGCAATAATAAATGTTATTTATTTAATAAAGTGAATATTTGCAAAATAAATTGATTGTCGCGAGGTTAGCGCAATCTATCGGGATTTAATCGCAGGTTTATATAATTAACGAAAGTATTTTTAGATCATTTGATTACTTACGTGTACTTGTTACGAGATTTCTTTTTTTTAATATAGCTCACTAGTTTATATGGGAACTTATGTATTACGAATAAAATTGTAATATTGCTGAATACAATTGAATCAAATACATTTAAGCTTTATTTACAAGTATTTATACACGCCAACATTTTTAAATTATGCCTATTTAGTTAGTTATAGTATTCATAATTAGTCAATGTTATTACTGATAATTAAAAATGTTTAGTACTTATGTTTCATGACTTAAACTTGACAGTAGATATTTTGTATATTGATTATATAAAAACTTATTGATTTGAATTGAATGAAGTTTATTCTGTAATATTTCAAAAGATAAACAAATTTAGGAAATCTGAAAAACGTCAAATTATCATCGTCATAATAATCGTACTTAAAATCTTAATCAAACTGTTGTTAGTTAGTTAAAATTTTGCTAATTAACAGTTTAACTAATTACCAAATCATGAAAAAGTTTAGAGAAATTAATGAATCATGCATCTGATATTTATATTGTAGTAATGAGTAATGTATTTATTTAGTTACTCATCAAATACAATAGCAATTTATCATTATTTTAACAATACAATGAATGTAAATTTCATATAAATAAGTATTCTTTACATATATTTCCTCATATGTAATATCTATTATTACAATTATTTGTGAATAGACCTATTGAAAAATAATGTACACACACATTTTACATTCATTAACTGAAGTTATATGCTTTCAAAAACCTTATAACTATTATTTACATAGAGGGAATTACGCAAGTTTCACTCATAAATTGACGTTTTTCTTAAATATAAGCGTTCGAAGCAAAAAAAAAAAAAACCCTGAAGAAATCGAAATATGGATGAAGCCGTAGTCAACTGGTACGTATAGCAAAGATCGAGCGGTCATCGCAAAGCACTTGGATTTAAGCCCCGAATGACTGTGATTCCAGCAATATAGATACTATTTTCTTCATTTCATTAAAACTTCACTCCAGGTTTAACTAAAAGAAAAACGTTGATTATCTATTATGTAACTACTTGCATCTTAGTCCATTGTAGTATCTTCGGCCATTTTGGGGATTTGCATCGGGTTTAACGCCTGCAAATCACTTTGAAGTGTATGCAATTGTATGCCCATCTCTTGATCGAAAGAAAATCTCGGAACGGTTAACACCAGAGACCTCTGGATCTCGGGATGCGAAGCTTTCAAACAAAACAACATTCAGTTTTGTCCGTTGCTTCACTGTGAATTCGTCCAAATTCGTCTCAGTCGTCCACTTTTTCAGTCTGCAACAGATTAGTACATTAGAAACTGCGCACTGCTGCGCACTTGTTAAGGAATATAAGTTAAATACATGTCAAGTACAGCATAAGACGCATCTGTTTTACGATAGACAAATCGATTTATTATAAGGGTGCGTCTTATGCTCCGAACACGTGTCTCCATATGTGGAAGTCCCTCATTAAGAACTGAGGTCAATTCAATTTAGTGGACGTGATTTCATTTATTTTTTTTTTTTGCACTTACTATAATAAAACTATAAACAAAAAATGAGTGTAACGCAAAAAAGAGTGTCATACAATGCGAGTTTTAAATTGTCTGTTATAAATTATGCTAAAGAGCATGGAAACAGAGCAGCGGAAAGACATTTTGGTCCACCGCCGACCGAAAAAATGATTCGCGAGTGGAGGAGGCAAGAAGAACCATTGAAATTGCTGAATAAAGATAGGAAAACTTTCCGTACTCACAGAGTGAAATGGCCACAATTAGAGGAGGCAATGAAACTTTGGGCAATGAATGAGCAAAGTATGGGAAAAACCATTTGCACGAAAACGCTCAGTTTAATGGCGAGCCGATGGGCTAAAGCAAATGGTATTAAAGGTTTCCAAGGGTCGAGTTCTTGGTGCTTAAGATTCTTGAAAACACATGAGATGTTGCCTGAATGGTTTAAGTGTAAAAGAGCCGAAGATAAATTAGTTGTTGATAAGAGTGATAGTGCCAAGACGCATGAAGACAAACTGAATGTTGGTCATTATAAAGGTAATTTAACAATTTATGAATATTTTTCAGAAACATTATATTTGTCTTATAGTCCGAAGTATAATAAATATAGTTGACAACTTGGACAAACATATGTCCAAATCATGCAAATATGTTGGTCTCACACTCCAAAGTGCTGACCATCGTATTTGGCCGGATAAGGTTGTTTACACGCTCCAGTGTGAAAACAATGGTTCCTTGTGGCACTGCAACGCGTAGAATATTTACTATGTTTGCTGTTGTTTGTTTGTATATGCAAAGAGTGTTGCCCATGTAAATAAAAGTGCATTGCACATTGAACATCATTATAATATTTAACAGGAGAGGTTTTCTCAATCATCTACTTTCTTTTCTTTAAATAAACACATATAAACAGTGTTTATTTTTTTAATTATTGTTATTATTCCATATTTTTTTTTTAATATTTTTTTTGTGTATCTAATAATAATAATAATTTATTGGCCAAACATCGATACATAAGAAGAAGAGAAAAAAAAAGTACAATTTATACATAAATAAATTTTAACATACAATAAAAATATATATACTAATAGGCTGGCCAAATGGCTAACGACTTGTGTATCTATTTGTTCACACATTATTTTCTTATTATTTTTTGTATATGTTATGAATATCTAATACGCAATGCTTTAAAATATAATCAAGTGGTATTAGCTATCCAGCATTGTGACTACTCTATGGGCTTTGAGTAGTCGCCGAAAGCTTAACAAATTGAAAATATAAATTACGATCCATACAATTCCTCGCGGTAAGGAGTATAGGGATATAGGGAAAGGATAAGGTGAATGCGAACCGGAAACTCGGCGGTTCTAGGAAAGGATGGAGAGTCCTCGGATAGGTTATTATGAGTTAGTAAGAGTGAGTGAGGTGTTAACTAAAAACTAAAGAGGAATATAGGCAAAATGGGCGTATTACAAATATAACTTAATCTAACTTAACGAAAGAGAGAACTAGCTACTATAGTAAATTGCACTTTACTGCATTAATTAGCCTAATTGGACATTTAGGATAATCAATTGCCACCTAATTATATAATTTGTCTATGGTTTTTGCTGTGAAATTCTATAGTTTGGTCCACCTCCGGAGTGTCCGACCTAGCAGCAAGACCTGAACCTTTACAGCAAAAAAGGAACAGATCGAGGTGAACTTTATCTGCTGAAAGAGAAATACGTGGGAATACATTAGATCCCCACAGACATGGATTAGTACAACAGACGACAAATGGAAAATCACTCGCAATATTAAAGCAAACTCTAAAAAAGTGATATGAAGTGAGTGATTCGTGAGCCAAGCAAAAGCTCATTCGATCTATTATAAATGCTTAACCTTAACCAGGAAGAAGGCAAGATGATTTTAATAGTGAACTTTGCCCGAGCGAAGAGAAAACTAGAGTATTGAAATGGCAAATGGTTAGAGGAGGAAGGAAGATATTGGGACCGACAGAGACCCTGTAAGAGTTAATAGACTAGTCTGCGGAATTACCGGCACCCCTATAATAGGCAAAACACCAGTTACGGGGGTCACGGGCGGAGTGAAGGGAACCAATGTCAATCAAATACAAAATATTTCTTTAATAAGAATTGAAGCTACTTTAAATTATCAAATTTAAAGCAAATATATACGATTGAATTGAAACAAGGAGGGCTGCAGGTGGATCGTGATAGTGTGCAACCATCTCACGAGCCCAGGATATAATTTAAAACTAGAATGAAGTAACCCTTGAGATAAGGGGGATAAGAGTTCTGAAACATACTTTAAAACAAATCTACAATCGTGCAGAGAGAGAGTCTACTGACAAGTCTTGTTGAATTAAGTCTTTCGTAAGTAATTTTCGGGCACGATGGATACGTTAGATCCACCCCTTAAAGCAGAAACATATAAAAAGCTGACAAATACGATAGATTTGCTACTAACTACTCATGCTTATTAATTGCGAGGTGACACGAAATCACCATTCAAATTGGAGAAGTTTTCAAATTAAATTAAAAGTTAATAAATGGAAGTTGATCACATTGTTTCAATTTTGAAATAAAACTATAATTTCCAAAAAATAAGATTAGTTTATTTTATAACTTTGATAATTCCTTCGAGTCTGATCTAACATTAAATTACATCATGTGTTCAATAACCCTTGGACAAATTGAGTATAGTTTATGAAGTTTCAATGAAAAGCTGTAAAACAACACGGGAAGAAAGAAATATCTGAAATACCGAGGATTTTCAATTACCACTGAAAATTAATGAGAAAGCCCCGAAATTTCAATTAATGCTCACTTCTAATTGGAATGATGTTGACTTAAGCAACAGACGCGCCTTTGGCGTCTTTAACGTAGTTAAAGACGCCACACGCGTACCAACCGGTACCTGGTTTGTAAATGTGTTTTTTTGTAATAAAAATGCATAGCAACATTAAAGAAAAGAAAGTGGCGGGAAAAGAACGCAACCATTTTGTATGCGTCCAAGAGTTATTACGGAATATGCACATTTTAACACAAGCTACGTAAGGGATTAGCGAACAAATTGGGAAACTTTCAATGCAATGCAAAAAAAAAATTGTTTAGAATCAGATTCATCACTAACCTTTCATTGCCGTTAAATCTAATGGGCCGATGATGGTTTTCTCGAGTTTCACTAGTTGCACATTTTTTTCCGTTTTAAATTTCTTTTATTCATTTTGAAGTTGTTACAGAGTTTGTGTTATTGTTTTTTTGTGGCTTTTTGCACAAGAATTTTGAAGTTATATAACCGTAGGGCACGCCGAATCATAGAAGAACGACTTCCTCTTCGCGAACTAACGCAAACGCAGTAGGCGATGCCAACTTATGTTTAAATTCAATTTTTTTTAATAACATTGAAACTCCATCTTGTGGATCAATTGATAGACACAATATGGCAAACATTAATAAATTATTAATAATTATTCAAAATATGTGTTACCATTACTATTTACAATATAAAATAAACGAAATGTTAATCGATTAACCAAACAATTAGTTTGCACTGGAACAAATTCTTCATATCAATACAAACTTTGAGTTTAAATTGTACATGCATTTCATCATCCACTAATTCACAAGTTGTAGAAGCGGAGGAGAAGAGATCATCTACTCAATATTATTTATTTCTGAGAATACAAAGTAAATTAATATTATTATTTTATATATATATAATAAGTTGTTTGATGTATTGCTGCATTAACATTGTCCATCCAAATTTAAACAACTAAAAATATTGCTTAACTTTCGAAAACTTTCAAACAAATTCAATCAATGGACGCTCTCTGACGTTTGTTATTAGTTCGACTTTATAATTGAGATTTTTTTTAATCTTAGCTCACTTCATATTCATGTTCTAAACATGTCGATTAGTAAATTTATACAAAATTGAGTAGGCTGTTGATAACAAAAGTTCCTATTTGAGACAACTTACATTTCAATTAACATTATTATAATTGGTGATATTAATTACTTACTTTGCATTTATCCAATTGCAGATGAATTAAACTGATGCGCATTTCACAGGTTTAATTGATGAGAAAGTATGTTAAGAGTAAATTTCAGTTTTCATTTCAAAGTTGAAGTTGGCTGGAATCGCTGGTACATATAAATTGTGAAGAATAATGGAAATATTAATATGTGCTTACAAATTTTTAAAAGAAAATTTGCACGGTTGTATTAATTTGGTTGCCTATATTGTTTATATTATTATAATGCTGCACACACACTATATCTGACAAGAGATATAAATACAGTGGAACTCCAATATTCCTTCTTTTTTGATATTCATATTGTTTTTTTGTTGTTGAATTTTTTGTTTGATATTCGTCGGAAAAGTCAATATTCGTCCGACCGCTGACGTGACCGGTGAGTCAGCTGATCGTCTTTTAACTCTTGTTTAATACACGTTACTAGTGACAATGGGTCGTAAAAAGTGCTGTGACGATAAAATACAAAAAAGGAAAGCGGTGAGAACCACGATTGAATTGAAAAAGAAAATTATAGCTAAGTATGAAAGTGGTACACGTGTCAGCAGATTAGCAAAAGAATTTAATATGCCGAGAACAACTATAGCTAGCATACTAAAAATAAAAGATGCTATTAAATCAGCTGAAGTCGCAAAAGGTGTGAAAATACTCGCTTCTAAAAGATCACCACTGTATGATAAAATGGAAAAGCTTTTATTGGAGTGGATAACCGAAAAGCAAATGATGACTGATGAGAGCGTTTCAGAAGCTGTAATATGCGAAAAAGCTAAGCAAATGTATCAAAAACTACTGCGAGATAGAGCAACAAAGAGCACTGATGAAATTATCGATTTCAAGGCAAGTAGTGGCTGGTTTCGTAATTTTAAAATGCGAACAGGCATTCATAGTGTAGCTAGACATGGGGAGGCTACAAGATCGAATGCAGAAGGAGCTAAACATTTAGTACAAGGTAATTTTGTATCTAATTAAAATGTTTTTGAAAAAATTGTTTGATGTTCGTCCTTTTTAATATTCGTCGTTTACTCTTCGTCGTTCCACTGTATAATAAAAATGAAATGGGTTAAATGTTGTTGTTTACATACTTTAAAACTGGTAAATGTATACTTTTTCATAGAAAATGTAAATAAACAGATAAAATGAAGCTGCTATATATTACATAATAAGGGCAAGTAGTGTATGATTGTATGCAACCAACTGTTCCTTCCAAGAGGAAAATCAGCGAGTTTCAATAACAATTTCCGCAAATGCAACTGAAATACAATGGCGTTAAGATTAATTGAAGAAATGGTAAATATTTGTTAGTTACATTTTGTAAAACTGGTAAATGTATACATTTTTCAAAATGCTAGTAATTGTAAAAAGTGACGTGCACGAAAAAAAAAAATGAAGCATAGGTATATGTAGACATTAACTAGTGAACGTCATCTATTTAAGGTTAACTTTCGAAAGAGACGAATTATAGATTCGATATGAACAAAGAATATACCGTTGGTAGGTTTCAATGATTGCAATTAGCGTATGAATTAAATGTGTGTACCCTTTTTGTAGAGATGAATCAGACGTTCGATAAACTTTTGGGCGAACTTGTGTCCACTAAGAATAGGAACAACGTTTACCTGAGTAGAGACGCGTACGATAAAGTTTTGGAGGATGTTATTAATGCCAAGCAGAAGACGCATTCCAAAACGCCAGTAGATTATCGTCGTCTGCAGCGATACGATGTCGCGAGGGTCGGGGAAGAGTTGAAATTGATTTCACCCATTTCCAGCAACAACAAATACATCAAGTATTTCGTTACAATGGACGAACTCTTCGATGTCATCGAAGATGCTCATCTCATGACCGGACACGGCGGTCGTTCTCGCGTCCTGAACCTCTTGAACACTAAATACAAGAACGTCACCGTCGAGTCTGTTATGCTGTACTTGAGCTTATGCAAGGCTTGCTACAATAAAAATAAGGGAGGAAGACAAAAAAGGAGGCAGCCTGGTGAGTCACCTTTGATGTTAGAGTATCATCATACAACTTGATTTTGGATACAAGAAACGCGAACTTATAAATATTGGATTACCAATACGTATACATATTACATAATAACATGGTCGTAAAACGAGTTCAAGCTATACTTTTGTGTATATTTACCGTTGTTTCATGGAATAACTGATTATTTCATATATCTATTACATAAACTAGAATATGAAATATTTCATCTAAACCGTATCTAGTCATTTCATATAATGGCGGTTGCGTGAAGTGCGCAATGAAATTATCCGTTATAACCTCGAAAAATCCAATTCCAGATGTAGACTCATTGTGTATCTGTCGAAGTCTTGTAAATAAATTGCACAGCTAAGGTTATTTTAAAGAAACGCGAAATTTGGTGGTATATTTGCAATGGAAGGGAGCGAAGTGAGACGTTTGAGAATGCAATATAGATTTACGAACTTGTTAAATGCAAAAGAGACGAAAGCGAACGGTGCCTTGATGACAAACGATAGATATTTGGAGTTAATAAAAGATGTGAAACATGCCAAGAGTTGCAAGAAGAAAGTACCTCGCGATTATTGGTTGCTGCATCGTTACGATGTAGTGACGATACAGGACATCGAGAAATTAATTAAACCGATGAAAGTGTTCAACTATGCGGAGGTTGTCTTTTACGTTAAGAAAGACGATCTGTTCGATGTGCTTTACGATGTCCATCTGCAAACTGGACACAAAGGTCGGGACACTATGGTTAAAGTAATAAGACGAAAGTATAAGAACGTGACTCAGGAGCAGATACTGATTTTTCTGGAAACCTGCGAAGTTTGTCAACGAAAAAAGAGCGAGAAGAAAAGAGCTTCAGGGAAAATTGTCAAGTTTCATCCTTGCAATAGAATAAATCTTATGTCCAGCAGCTCACATGGTAACTATAATTTAATCGTGATTCTTAAGCTAAACTATTCGGAAACTTTTAATTTATTGTTTAACATAATAAATTTTATTATAAATAATCATTTTATAAATCACTAATTATTTTATAAAATTAATGATTTCATGTTTAACGTGCTCGACCTTCGAACGGTTTGACGTTCGAGCGGGTCGGAGAAGCAAATCCGGTTAGGAAACTCGAACAGAAACTCGAAAGTCGAACAAAGAGACGCTCGGTTTTCTCTCTCTTTTGTCGCAGGCGCAGTTTGTTTGGTCAGTTCCTCCAGTGTCTTGTTCAGTGAGCATCTCCAGTCTGATTTCCTTTTTCTTTGTGTCATTTTCATTTGAATTGTTTCTTTTATTTGTACCGCTTTCGTAATGGCACCAAAGAAGAGAGCCGCACGTGAAAAACCAAAGAGAAAAATCGTGTTTTCCACGATTGAAATGAAAAAGGAACTTATAGCGAAATGGGAAAGCGGCGTACGTTTATCTGATTTGGCACTGCAATACGGTATGGCCAAGTCCACGATATCGACGATACTGAAGAACAAGGAAGCCATTAAAGCGGCCGACGTGGCCAAAGGGGTGAAAACCCTAACTAGTAAAAGATCGCAAGCGATGGAAGAAGTGGAGAAACGTTTAATGGTTTGGATCAAAGATAAACAGTTGCTTGGTGTGTCTGAAGCTTTTATATGCGAGAAGGCTAGGCAAATGTATGGTGACATTACTAAAGATGCGCCTGGGGCTGAAGAATTTAAAGCTAGCAAAGGATGGTTCGACAATTTCAAAAAGAGGACTGGAATTCAAAGCGTGCTTGGACACGGGGAGACTTCCGGCGCGAATAGGAACTTGAAATATTTTATATTGGGTAAAGTCTTCAGGTTCTACATTAATTCATTTTTTTTTTAACTTGAAAGTCGAACACGAAATGACAATTCTTAAAGTTTAATTTATTTAAACTAAAAAATAAAATAACTTCAGTCCTATTAGATTTAGTAGATAATTAAGATTTGTAAATAGAAACAATAAATTGATTTGTTCACAATTTATAATTTTTATATAAAAACTTTGAGTTGCAAGAGGAAATATAAGTAAAATGAAATATTTCATTTGCTATTTGCTAAAAAAAATTGATCATTAAGTTTAATACGTTTTGTAGCTGGATTCATCTCGAACTGAACTTTTCCCATTTCCATTCTTGGTTCTTCAATGTTTTCATTCAGCATTTTCAAATTCTCTTCGATTTTCCACCTCGAAAATGTGCTCGAAAAATCTACGATAAACAAATTACCAGTGCATATCATCTGTTCGAACAGAGTCACAAAACCAGTCGAAGTCTTCTCCAATCCTGCAACAGCATCCAGTTCAACTTCTTCATTATTAGTTTCATCTCAGAAACACGATTGCTTTCACCCATGAAATCTCTTCTCTTTAAGATTTTATTCAACGATTGAGATAAAACGCTGCTTTCGCGCATTCATGGTTCCCGAGAAAATTTGAAATAATCTCCACACAAAATTTCATAATTTTCTTAACTTCAGGAGCAGCATTTTTATTCTTCTGTAGTTAACTTTGATAATATTAACTTTAAATCTGTGTAAATCGATATTTATATATGTCTTTTAGGAGAGGGTTTAAGGGTTGCAGGTATTTTGAGTCAATCACAGCAATACAATTTGATTACCTGTGCAATATGAAATCTTAAGGTTTAAAAAAAATTTAGAAACATATTTGAAATTATGAATAATTTGAATTTATTCAATATTAAACATACAATTTACAATCACATTTAGTTGAAAAATACTAATAAACTTAGTAAATTATAATAAAAAAATAATACAATTTAATTATTTATAATGTTGGTATAACAGTAAAACAAGTATTTAGAGTTTAATTAATTAAAATTAAAAATTGTGCGCAATCCCTTCATCATCTCGTATATCCGTTTCGCATTTTGTAATTATAACTGCAACTGAATTTGATGCGTTTATTGTATTGCGGCAATGGACTTTCGCATTGACCCGTTCTATTTTTCTTCTTCAGTCTGTCCTCGATCGAACTCTTCAGCGTCTCCAAATTCTTCTCGATTCTATTAACAGCCGTCTGCACCTTGCTCAGATGCTCGTAAAACTTAACGATGAACAGATCATCCCTCATGTCGAACGGCCTCATGGAGTTATCGGTCACCTTCATCGCTTCGAAGAGCATCGCAAAATTCCTCGAAGCCTCCTCCAAATCCTCACGGAAGTACTCTATGTCATTGCCGGTGCGCGTTATTAGTACGCACATTTCCCTGTAGTTCATATGCTTGGGTCGAAGTGGCATGTCCATGGTAATCCTCCAATCATTCACGTAGTCTCTTCCCTTCAAAGTTCTGACCAACTTATTCGACAACCTCGATGCCTCCATCACCTGCTTTCGCAGGTTTACCTTCTCGTAATCCTTCGGGAACTCTGCGATTAAATCGTAACACTGATCCGCGATCAGTGTCACTGGTAACGAGATATTGTTTCTTTTGATGGCGAAATCCATTGTTGAATTTTTAATGCTCTCTCACTTTTTATTTCTCTTATATAAAAAAAATATATTTTCGTTTACGACGAAATTTTTGTTGTGTTTTTATAAAAAAATATTAATTTCGATTCAATTACTTTGAATCTTTATATTTACAAAATAAATATTTCTTACTTAATGTTCACTACTTCTTTTTATATCACAACACGTATATTTTATTTTGTGCAATAAAGTGTAAATCTTTCAATTTATTTCTAGAAGATTTATTTTTTACGTTAAAATTTAGTTGATGCTTCAATTTTTTGTATGCAAGCTACGCGGCTCACAATCTAGCAAACACTGGAAACGTTTCACAAATCTCTTTCGATATTCATATTTTGTTTTTATGAATTCCAAAAAATTTCAGTTCTTTTCAAACTTATCAATACATATTCTTTTTTTCAGCGACACATATTGAAATTTTGTTGAAAATTTAAAGACTATAAATATATTTATTACTAAGCGAAATTTGTGTTATTGAAAAAAAAAATATGTACGTTTATTGGTTCATGATAATTCATGGAAATAATGAAATATTTATAATTTTAAATTGATTTGAGAGGAATATTTTTGCTGAATGAAAAAATGCAAATTTATAAAATTATAAGATAATTTACGATGTTTTAAGTTGTAAATTGAAAAAGACCGAAAACGTAAAATGGTAAAGGATCAACGTGTCTTCATTGTCTTATTGATTTCAAAACTTGCACAAAATCAAAAAAAAAAATTTATCCAAAGTTTTAATTAACATTGTTTTTGCTTCAGAATTGGATTCTGGCCCCGAATTGACAACAATTCAAAAATCCGAAGACGATGGTGAATTGGAAACGAAATTTGATATCGCTGATCTTGTGAATATAGACCACGAGTTCACGAGCGGAGATCCTCTGGCTGAAAAAACTGGAGAAGATGATCATCACGATTTCCAAGAAAACTCGAGAAACACAATTCCGAGCGCTGAAAATGCAATGTCTCAACAACAAAACAAAACTGTGATATCGACTGTAACGAAAAACAGTGGAGGCATAGTGAGAAAACGCGCCACGGCTGCTATTTCAACAAATCCCAAAAGGACGAAGATCGATACATTACATTCTGCATCGAAGGACGCTCTGGATCTCTTCTTCGACGGAATCAAATCGACGATGAGGCAGTTTTCCGCCACTGACATTCACCAGGTTAAAGCGAAGATATTCAGTATCGTTTCCGAAGTCGAGGCCAAATATTTGGATGTCCCTGAAATGCAGACTGCGGATGATTTCGAGTTGGTTAAAGTGAAGGAAGAACTCAGGTAATAATGTTTTTTTTTTCAATCTTTATGATCAGTAATTGAATGCAATATTGATTTTAGCGATTATCACGTGCAGTTCTGCGATGAAGAAGAGGAAGAGAGAAATTCTAGTGTCATGGAGGAGAGGATGATCAAAAAGGAAGTCAACAATATAGTTTCTAACGGTAATATTCTTCAGATCTAAATCAATTGCTTTTTTTTTTGACAATTTCATTTACAGATCCATTGTATATGGGAGAGAGTTCAGGTTCAGGAAAAGGCAAAGTCGAAGAGGATGCGTCAAATAAGAAGGTTGTACGGAAAACTGCGTTTTGTCCTGTGTGGAACTGCTGCGAAGACAATTGTTCTGTTAGGTTCAGTACGGAGAGGCAGCTGCAGATGAACACGGAATTTCAGAACTTCACGTCCGAAGAGAAGGATGCATATATTTGCTCGCTGGTCTTGGTGATCGGTGACGATTGCAAGATAGAGAGGACAAGAGTTTACAGGTTACCGGATTCGTTCGACGGTTCCAATGTTGACGTGTGCAAGAAAATGTTTCGCTCGGTTCTCAATCTGACCAACAAAAGTATAACTAATGCCCTCAGCAAGAAGTCATGGGGAGAATATGAGTTTCATGATACATTGCTTGCCGAGGCTCGAGCCAGGCAAATTGTACTGAACCGCAAATTCCAGATTTGAACATTGTCGTTGTGTGTTTTAGCCACTCGTTGTAATGCACATCTCCATATGACCACTGGGCTGTAGTTTTCGAAATTGTGCTTGACACAAGGGAGTGGAGATTTAAAAGAAGAAGATAAATTGGTATTAAAAGTTTTATATATAATATATATTTGTTATCTAAAAGAATTGAATATTAAGTTTAATATGTAAAAAAAGATCCAAAGAGAAATTATTTTATTATAGATTTACGTATATTATATTTAACATGGCTGTATTTATTGGGCGCGTGAGAACTGGGCGATGGTCAATAAAATTATTTTCATTTTATTTTTTTATATACATCAAATGTATGTTACGTTCTATTATATGACTAAACAAATGTAAGCGAATATGTTACAATTTTATTTTAAAGTTTCAATCGTCCAGTTGTCGCGCTTCCGCATTTATTACTGTAATAAACATATTTTTGTTTAGCTAAAAACTTTTATTAAATCCTAATTTAATTGCAGCAATTAACTTTGTACATATTTTAACTTTATACGAATCTTAAGTCTGTTAATTGCTACACTTACCAAACAACGTAAAGACATACATAGACTTTACTCGACAAGTCACTTGGAATAGTTCAAATGTTTGCCAAGGATCTACTAATGAAACGATACTTGTCAAGTAGCAATTATGAAATACGTTGTTATGGAGATAACGAAAATCTTGAAAGGTAAGTTTTTATTTCTTTCATCTAGTTTACGAATCTGCGATTGTTTCATTTGATAGACAATTTATAAATAAAATATACTTTATTTTCATTTAATAGGAAAACAAATAAAAAGATGTGACGAAACTATATACAGGATGATCTGTTTCTCAATCCTAATTTAACTGCAGCAATTAACTTTGTAGATTGAACTTTATACGAATCTTAAGTCTGTTAATTGCTACACTTACCAAACAACGTAAAGACATACATAGACTTTACTCGAGAAGTCACTTGGAATATTTCAATTGTTTGCCAAGGATCTACTAATGAAACGATACTTGTCAAGTAGCAATTATGAAATACGTTGTTATGAAGATAACGAAAATCTTGTAAGGTAAGTTTTTATTTCTTTTATCTAGTTAACGAATCTGCGATTGTTTCATTTGATAGACAATTTATAAATAAAATATACTTTATTTTCATTTAATAGGAAAGCAAATAAAAAGATGTGACAAAACTATATACAGGATGATCTGTTTCACGATCCTAATTTAACTGCAGCAATTGACTTTGTAGATTGAACTTTATACGAATCTTAAGTCTGTTAATTGCTACACTTAGTGACTTGTCGAGTATAGTCTATGTATGTCTTTACATTGTTTGG